ACTGAAGAGTTCGTATAAAGTTCTCCATTGTCATCTCTCCCCACCTACAATCCAGTTTAATAGCAATTGTTAACATGCGGTCACTTGTGATTGGTGAAGTCGGTTCAAATGATGAATTGCCATGGAGAGTCGTTCGAATGTGTCTCAATTGAGACAGTTCAGAGAATTTATTAACCTTATCAATGTATCGTGTTAGTTCGATTGGCAAAGATGAAAGGTGAGAATTGGCTAAGTGCTGCAATAAATTGAAATTGAAGAAGTCGTAATGTGGTTCAAGATCCTGTAACAATTCTTCAATGCTACCAGCCTGTAACGTTGATACTGGAATGTGAAGGTATAGTGCAGCAGTTCTAGCTATAGCATTGAGCTTCATCCTATCAGCTTGTACTAGCTCCTCAAACCCAACTCTTAATTTAGAAACAAGAGTGGTGAATTGAGAGTAAAGGCCTTCTATATCATTAGCAACCTGATACTTTGACTTCAGTTGAGTGACAGGTGTAGGAGCTAAACCTGATTGATTGGGTACTCCAGGAATTGTGTCTTTGATTGCGGCTTGAAGTTGCTGCTGTTTATTGGCACTGCTTTCAGCATGGCTCTTTCCTATAGAATTAACAATAAATAAATCATTAATTATGAACAATAAATCACATACTAGCTTCTAGAAGCTGATTTGCCATTAGTGTCAATCCAACTTTCTGTAATACAGCAATGAGAGAAGAGAACACTTCATTTGGTTTAGAATGACTTCTAACGAGAGCTAGTAGAGAAGTGATGAGATGAGTGGCCCTTTGATACGGTGTAAGGCATGAATTGGTAATAGAATTATTATATGGAACACCATGAGACAGACACTGATTGGTGATTCTAATGATGATTTGAGCATTACCAGCTAACAGAGCAACAAGGTCTTTCAACAGTTCATTCAACGTGATATACTCTGATGATTCCTTCAGCTCTGTTTCTTGCTTTGTGACAGGAGGAGCTGCTATTAGATTGTCTAGTGATACTTTACGTTGAGGTGGTGCCTTTTGCATTTTTGGATAAAGATTTGGCTCTGAAACTACATGAGAAACTTTGACACGTCGTTTTACTCTTCTTGAAGGACCTAATGTAAATGTAAAGTGTTATTATTCGTACTATATAGGCCTCACCTTTTATTTTTCCTGTTGCTACTCTTAACTTGTGTAGTAATGTTGGATGCTCTTCAAATGCTCTTATGAAGAAAGACATCCCCTCATGATCATTGACAGCATTCTTAACCTTCCTTAAACTATCAAATTGTGGCAGTGACTCCTCCAGCTGTCCTTTGATCAGTAGCTCATACAACTCTAGCAGCTCAGATGATTTTGGTCTGTGATCAGGATCAATGTTAGTAGTAAAGGCAGCAGAGAGGGAATGAGGTCCATTCAATGAATGGTTGTCAGGGCCAGGGGTAGGAGCAGAAGCCATTGCATTAACACTGAGCTCTACAGAAAAGGTTTCCTTTCTTTGTTACTATAAATAATGATCATAGTCTGTCTATTAATAGATTATTGTAATGCTTTACTGATCATTTACAAGTTGTCTAATGAGGTGTGCTGTAGTACTATTTGAAGTACAGTCAGTGTTCACAAACTGCAAATGATCAGTACAGTCTAGGTTTGCATTCAATAGCATTTCATAATTTTGGAACTAGAGAATGTTGGAACTGCATACTAAATTAGTTCAATCAGTTGATCTGTTGTATTGATCTAATTGAATGTAAAAGGTGTCCCCTTTCATAAAAGTTGTGGAATCCTCCCCTGCTCCAGTACAAAGGAGGCAACCACAAAAATGTGTTGTAGGTAATGATGGTAATCCAGTATTATCTGCACAGCTGTCAGCTGGCCACAGTACACAGGAACTACAGGGCGTGTTCAATTTATAGAGTTTAAAATCAAGAAAAATCTAAAAAATCAACTAAAATCAACTAAAAAGCCACTAATATTACAATAAAAGAAACAGTTATTCCTTAAGCAAAGTGATTTCGACTCCATCATGTACTCCTTGAAGAAGTATTTCCGCGTCATATTTCACAATCTTCTTCCTCTTGGCAGCTTTCAGGGTACCAACCAAAGCCTCGAACAGATTAGCACATTTGTCATCAGCAAACAAGGTCCCAAAGGTAACAACGTACTGTCCATCAGCATTCTGTGTCCCTAGCCGCTTTATTTCACCAACCAAAAGCTCTACCTCATGCTCAACGTTCATCTTTGTAGATTCACCACAACTAGCCACACCTTCTGGGCGTGTGGCTGACACTCCCTTTCATAGACTTTGTATAGGCTATAGTTATTAGCGCATTGTGGAGGTACTAAATAAATTAATGACACACAAACAAACAAACACACAAACACAATAATTGTAAGAAGTAAAGTACAAACAGGACATAAAGGATACATACATAATGAAAACAGAAATAAAAGAGAGATGTCATAACTTTAATGAGAAAGGAAAGAGAGAGAGAGAGAGAAAGGTATCATCAGGTGACTTGAGAAGATGTATTTAATTTCACTAAAGAATTAGTAGTTCCATCAACAAGAGTGTTACTGTGGTTAACTACAGCCCTACATGTTCATGTATGTACAGAAGGAAACATCATTATAGTTTATCAATAGTTGAGTAATAACAGATTGATTATACAAAGACATTATGAAATAAACACATTCATTTAAAAGAAAAGAGAATTAAGATACCAGTTTAACATAGCCCTCCCCACACAACACAACACACATACCACAGTGAGAGAGAGAGTTCAAACTTACCCAGCTGCTAGCGCGTGTTTTATTTCCTTCTCAGCCTCTGCCTGAAGCTTGGCATGATTGAATAAATCATGAACGCTGCCGTTGGGTGAGTTATGGTGCACGATGGGGGCCAGGGCCTTCTCCCTAGCAGCGAGAGCAGTTTCCATAGTTCTCTGGTCTAGCATTAAACTACTCACAAGCTTGTTGGTCTGAATCGGTAAAGGGGATATAGTGGAATTAGAAGTGAGAGTTGCTGGAGTCCTGTTAGTGACCAACGGAAGAGAGAGGGAAGGTACTGTACTAGCAGCACATGACACTACTACTGGAGGGATTGGACCAGCTGGTGTTGATAAAGGAGGAGGAGGTACAGGAGGAGGAGGAGGAGCCTGTTGCTGCTGGAGGGAGAGAAGAGCAGCAGCTGTAGCCGCAGGAGAAACAGGAGGAGGAGGAGGAGGAGGGAGAGGAGGAGGAGGGTCAGGTTTAGGGGTGGGTTGAACTGAAAACGCTGCCTTCAATTGACTAGTAATATCAGCTACCATCTGAGTTGTAAGAGCTTTATGACGCCTAGAAAACATACCCGCCCTTTTGAGAGATCTATCAAGAGAAGAGATACTTGAAGACGCAGTACAAGACTGCCAACTTAGAGGAGGAGGAGATTTCTCTTTTGAAGAAGGACCTGTGTCATTAGGAAGAGGAGGAGCAGAGGAGGAGGAGGGAGGGAGGGGGAGAGAGGGAGGAGGAGGAGCTTCACTAGTGCTAGGTGTCGGAATATCTTTCTTTGGTAAGTGTTTCAAGTTACCAACATGTATCTGGACAGGAAGACCAACGTGAGATAATTGAGTTGGAGGAACGGTCACTTTGTCCAGCTCCTCCTTCTCTGAATCAGGACTGGCCTTTTCCTTATCAAGGTTAGAGCCAGAGGGTTTCTCATTGAGTCCTGCTAGTCCTGCAGGACCTTGTCGACTGGGTTTCAAAGCAAAGAGAGAAGTGGGGAATGTCGAGAAAGAAGATACTTCATTTTGTGTCTCTGAGTCAGACTGGAGTCCTCCGAACTTATTGTAGCCTTTATTAATATCAGGACAATAATAGGTGGAGGGGTCGATAAATGGAAGATATGAGAAACTGAAGTTTGTTGATCCAGGAGCAGGTGAGACTGGATAAAAGCAATGTCTGGCAGGAGAAGACAGGCAGTAGTGTCACATACAAAGAGAACATTATCAATAATAATTAGTAATGGTAACTATTGTTATTATACCGATTGGCTCCTCCTTCATCAGTTCTTGATGCATTATTATCCATTGGCTCAATATCTTCCACTACTGTAGACTGATCTTCTATTGATGAATCACACTGTCTATAATCTTCAGTGGTCATCCTGTCCCATAGGATCCTGTGGGTAGTAAAGGTTCAGTTACAATACTTAAACATTAACGTACCTTCCACCGCGACCAACTCTCCTTCTAAAGTAACCAGATCGCCGTCCATCAAACGATGCTCTGGAGAAACACATCCTCTTTGATGGTGGAGGCTCATACGTTGAATTATTACCAAACCTACTGATCCAGTCATGATTCTATGATAATACAACACAGTCAATCATGATGGACCTAATGTATCATACTCTACCTTATGATAATGGATGTGAACTTTTCTTTTGAATGTAAAAACACCGTCAGGTTCAGGGACTTCATTTCTCTAATGAAAAAATGAACAAGTGAAGAGAGAGAGAGAGAGAGGGAGGGGGGACAAACCTCATCAATATGCAAGAATTTGGTTGATTGTTCTTTTTGTATTTTATCAAGAGGGAGGGATGGAGTCAAAGGTAACTCAGAATCAACCGTAATCTAATAATAAATAAATAATAATAAAATGAATTAATTTATACATGTACCATTGGGAACAGCTTCTTTTTCCTCTTCTTCTTGGACCTACAGCATACAATACATTATACAGTACAGTACACAGTACATTATACAGTACAGCATACAATACATTATACAGTACAGTACACAGTACATTATACAGTAGAGTATATAACACAGTGTAACATTGTAAATGTGTACATATTGCAACTTATGAATATCACAATCCTACGGCTCTATCTAAAACACTTACCCGATTACTCTAGGATCTTCAAGACCATCAACCTAACAAATATAATAATTAATAATAAAGGAGGTGTAGCTATCCCTGTACTATAGTACCACCCAGTTCAGGTGACATTAAAAGGTTCCTTACTTACTTTTAATGAAAGACTTTTATTGTCCCAATGACCATCAACTACTGATAAGTGACGCCCACCAGAAGTAGGTGTGGCCATAGGCCGCAGAGTTGACAGTAAAGACCCACTCCAATCCTCCAGTTGATATCTTTTACGAAATATATCAGCGTAGCAATGATCCAACTCATTCTTCTTCACTTCTCTGTCCCTCACCAACTCCACTAATGTCCTGAGGAAATACATGTACATGTATATCAGTACAATATTTCTGACCAAAACCACACCCATTACAAGATGGCAGACAGATTGACTTACATGGCTTTAGAAAGATCTCGTTTCAATTTTAGCATATGAGTAAAAGCTTGTTCATCATTCTTTCGATTCTAATGACAAGACAGATTCATTAATTAATCAATCAATTAATTAATTATTAATTATTAATACTTTTCTTGTTTGCATCTTTTCAGTTCTTTTCCTAAAGGCAAGATAAGGATTGGAGGAGCTGGTTCCATCCCTCCTCTCGTTACGAACTGAGGGAATGAGAGAGCGACCCTATCGTTTGTTTGTTAATTAAAATAAACCACACAGGCTATATTTACAAGTCTTAATCTCTTAGCAAGCCAGTAGTCATAGACAGCCATTACAAGATCCTGCTCGTCCTTCAACAGAAACTGAGCATCATGTTCTGACAGAACCTAAAACAGAACCAACAGAGAGTGTACAGTGTAACGTGATAGCTACAGCCATCAGTCATTTACTATAGCCTCAATAGTACCTACTAGTTATTCATGTAGTAGACTAGATGCCTGCTACTATCAGTGTTGTGTATATACAAGGACTGGATAGATGAGTGACTAATAATTATATTAAACTAACACTATGACCACAACCTACACTAGTCACTAACCACTGGAGCATTCCAAGGGATGACTATACAGTAAATGCACTTAATGCTTGGGGTAACAGCGAATTACAGTTATAGACGGATTGATATACATGTACATGTACAGTATATTATACTTACGGTATTTCCACTTCCTTTCTCAAGTTTGTCCATCATCCTCTCAAAGTGAGTAGGTGACAATGGCTATAATAAAAAAAAAAAAATAATAATAATAATAAATATTAATAATAATATTAATAATACATGTACTATAACTTGGCTCATTATTATTCTATAAATAGCTCAAGCCATCAGTTGCTATTTATAGAACAGCAGTACACATACACACGCTTACCCTTTCCTTTGACTGGGCGTTGAGCCATTCCTCATCTTCTGAGTCTAAGTCATAATCCGGTATGTCTTCGCGTAAACCTAAACCTACAGACACAACACGAATCATGATCTCAAGAGCTTGATAGACAATGGATACAATGAGCAAAAAACATTTCATGATACAGACACTACATGCTCATTGGAATTCTTAATAGTCTAGAGTCTATAAAATGTCATTATCTAAACAAAAAGACACCAATCCCAAAAATACTATGCCAACACAAATCAGATTCAATATGGAGGTATCTCATTTCTCATTACTGTAAAGGTACCACACACACACAGTGAAAGCTCATACTATTCCATTCTGAAATTTGAAGATGATACCATATACATGTAGATTATAAAGCAATGCTGAATTGCTGATACATAAGTAGTATTGCAAAGCAAGCTTAAGCTAAAGGTCCTTGATTAGTAAAGACAATTTCAAGAAGTATCAATGCTAAGCTTACCAGGTACTCTAATGTAGTATAAAGGTACAGTTGATGATGTGGTATAAATTGATGGATAGTGATGGACTGGTATCGTTGCCTCTGGTATTGGGATTACTATTGACTTCCCTGACTCGCTGAAGTTCTGACGAGCATTGATGACTCTTTGAAGATGTCTCTCCTGTAATTGAAAATTAAATATTTAAAATGAGAGGTCCAATTGTTTAACTATATAAAAAGGTTATAGTTGCAATAAGCTTAAATAACTGAATCGTTACAAATAAGTAAACTAGCAATTCAAAAAGTGACTCTTAAATAGGTTCATTATTATGGAGTAATCTTTAATTAAGTACAAACGACACTGTTGGTAGTTGAAATGTACACAATTTAAAAGAAATATGGCCCATTTAAAATACAAAAAGCAATTTTGCTAGTATCCATGATACTTTTAGATAATAAACAACACCAAATTGCTCAAAATTAGAAAAAACTCTCTTTACAAGTAGTCCGCCATTTTAAAAATGGCGGCCAGAAGGCAGGAAGTGGAAAAGAACATACTGCTTCTTCTTCTTTCTCCATTCCAGTGGGGAGCTGAGGGACAGCCCGGTTGATGGGGACGTATTCAGCAAGGTCTGGTAGCTCATCCTCAGTATATACGGGTAATGGCTTGTTGGAGTCGAGGGCACGGGCCCGAAACGACACCTTGCTCATGGCGGATGATTGCTGGACTCGCCTCCCGACACCTTAAAGATTTTGGCCTAAAAACTAGGCTCTCTCTACTTTGATTGACTCTTGGCAACTCAGACGGATAGTGCTGTCATCCCCCTTTAGCCTGATCCCTCTAATAAGTGTGTAAGAGCTCTTACAGCTGTGCAGTCTGCGGTTTAGTAAACTGGTTCCTTCTCCTCTGAGAAGACGCAGTCGCCATTTGCAAGTGGTCAATAATGAGACAGGAAGTGAATCGTGAATAATAATACATATTTCCGTTCGCTTTCCGGCTACCTCCGTAAAACACATATTGGGCTAATAATTTTCAACATTATAAATTCAATCATTATTCTTTTTATTGTATTCTTTCATGGCCAGGGCAATGGCATTCTCCAATTTCAATCTTTTTCTTTCCTTTTTCATCTTGGAGACTGAACTAAGCCCCTCGCTGATGTCTCTAATGTTAGAGTGATCCACCAAACTAACTGATTCCTCTGTATCAAACCATTTCACCCACACCTGTAACATAAAATTAAAACAAAATTAAACGCCACAAAAATATAATTCCAACCTGAGCTTTAGGAGCAGGCTTTAGCTTATGCTGCTTCCAGTCTTTATGTGATATGATCTTCCCTGGCCAATAAGGAAGCTGTGGAGCTCTGGCCCAGACAATATCCCCTATCACAAAAGGACGGCACCTGATGGTGTAATAACTAGTGAACATTGGGAGGCTTTTACGAGATATGGAAACTATCAGTTTCTCTTTGTTGCCTTTCGTGTGCTGAGAAACTGACTGTGAGTCTTCAACGAGACATGATTCCTCAGAGTTGCTCTGAGGACTGAAGGATCTCATTCTCTTCCTAGCCACAACACTATGAAGTGCAGCCTGACCACCTTTATCATGAGTAGAGGAGGGTCCACCCAGTAATGGAATATCAGTAGGTGATTGAATGCCACTAAACACACTATCAGGTGACCCTCCATTACCTGATATGGCTTCTCTCTCACCCACCTCTCTGCAGTGTCTCTTATGGATTCTTCTGGTGCTCCATCTGATGGCATCATGTTCAAACCCCCTCCTCTTCCTTCCTATCCTCTTCCCTTCTCCGCTGTGCACAGTCTCCGATGATGAGGCTCTGTTACCAGAGACTGATGATGGTAAACTTCTTGATTTCGGCTTTCCGCTAGGCTTCCTTTTCCTGCTGGTTGTTCCATCAGAAGACCCAGCTCTTCCAAACTTCCTTCCTTTCTTTGCTCTCTTAGCTTCAACAGGACTATCAGTGGGTGGGGTCGCACTGCCACGGAGGTGATAGTCTCTAGGGAAAGTTGTTAATTCTTTATCCGGATAATAGGTGTCTTCCTGGTCTGAACTGCTGACATTTTCATCATCTTGAGTAATGAAGTCCATTTCAATATCATAAGTATCAGCAGTAACGGGTTTCTTTTCTTCATTCTGATCTGATGAAGGTTCAAGACCATCTTCTTCATCTGGCTTGGGTTTAGGATTCGTTTTGGCACCAGTTCTCTTTCTTTTCCTCTGTGTCTGTTTCCTTGTTTTGTTATCCAAAGCTGCTTCATCATCAATGACTGCCTCTGTTTCCTTTAATGTATGAGGAATGCTGTCTTGATCTTCACCACTAGCAGTAATGTTTCCCTTATCAAGTGATGGGCCATCTTCCAATGTCGCTTTCCCTATATTCTGGTGAGTATTTTGTTCTTCAGCTGAACCCAGCAATGGTTCGATACTAGTGTTCTCTATGAGTTGAATTGGTACAATGTCTATGTCCTCCATTAGCTGCTCTGGTTGACATTGCTGAGAGTCTCTCTCATTAGTACTGCCAGTCGTCTCTTCATTATTATTATTATTAGTTGTTTCTGCACTACTGCTGGGGTCTTCCTGTCCTTTCATTACAATAGAGTCTTCCTTATCCACTGGAGACTGGGTCCCTTCCTCCTCCTTATATGGTAACTCACCTTTAGCTGATACTATACACTCACTCTCCTCCTCTGGCCTATCAGTTTGTATGCCTCCTGAATGACCTTCTGACTCTAAGCTGCACTCCTTTACTGATTCATTGCACTCTTTCTTCATAAACTCAGTATCTTCTTTCTTTCCTTCCTCCTCCTCATCTTTTACCCTCTCCCTTTGCCCTTTGCTCTCATCATGTCCTAGTGTGTGGACTAAACCCTTACACACATTGCTGCTAGAGGCCTGTCCCTTCTCTTCATTGTCAGTGTTCATCATAACTTGCCGTTGGGATATCTCCTCTTCCATTTCTTCTCTAGTTCCTTTATCCTCTGCTGACCTTGCATCAGTTGTTATATTCTCTTGTTCTGTCAGTTCTGGTTGCTTTATTCCTTCCCCTATGTCCTCCTCCTGTCGGGTTGGTGGTAATTCATTTTGTTCATTAGTTGGTTCTTCATTAGCTAGCTCAGGATTCTCTTGTTCATTCTCCTTTCCTTCTTCTCGTTGCAAATCAATTAATGGCTGACCTTCATTTCTTACATTGATATTGCTTGACAACTCATCATCATTCCTTACAAAAGACTCCTGAGCGGAATAGCCTTCACTGACTGGAGGAACAGTCTCCTCTTCATTGTCCCTTTCCTCCACTGCACTAGTTGAGTCCTCAGTTAGCTTATTCTGTTCGTCCAAAGGTAAGATCCCAAATTGTGACTCTGACAGGTCATTTGGGTTCTCTACACTTAGAGTAGGAGGGGCAGTGGGTTCCTGGGGGTTGTGAGTCATTACTAGTGAGCTACAGAAAGGAACTGGTTCATGTTCCTCACTCGTGCTGTTGTTGTTCATGTTCTCCTGAGAACGAAAGAACTCGTTTGCCACCTTCTCCACCTTTTGAAGATAAGCTCCTCCTTCCAAATCAGAGCCAGCATTCTTATCAATAACATCATCTTTCTCAGCTGTAAAGGGACCTTCCCTGTCAGACATATCTCCTCCAGTAAGATCCATCCCTTCCACACTGTTACTATCACAATTCTTCAAACTCTCATTGATCATTTCAATTGGGAGAGATGAAGACAAAGAGCTTGAGAGTGACTGGCTACTGCTCATTTCTTGCAAAGAATTAGCACCAGCATCATCAGACAGGATGTTCCCAGTTGATGTACTTGTATGGGAAACTGGTGGAGAGAATCCTTCAACGCTAGATAGGGCAGGTTTCTTGGGAAGTAGCTTCTTTTTAGAGAGAGACGGCATAGAATTAGGAGAAGAAGTTACAAGAGGAACTGAAAGTTTAGGAGTAGGAGAAGAGACAAGAAGGATCTGAGAGAGAGAGTTAGAAGCACCAGGAGAGGAGGAGGAGGAGGGGGTGGGGACTGATGACGGAGACACTGAGCGTTGCTTCTGAATGGCGTTCATTAGCCAAGGGAGTGATATGCTAGTAGAAGTGGTAGTGTTGCTTTTAGTTGAAGTTGCTGTTGTGATGTGACTAACCAAAGCGTGAAGGTTCAAGACAGGGTATGAGACATTAGTGTGGACGACACTACCAGCTGGAGAGGGGCCCCGAGAACTAGGACCAACTAGATTAGAGATTGGTGTGGTCTTTGGGTCAGTCGGTTTTGATACTTTATTAGTAGAACGAGGAGGAATAGGAGGGAGAGAGAAAGGAGGGGAAAGGACAGGTGGTTTTTTAATTGATTTACTGGAGGAGAATGGTTTGGGTTTAGATTGAGTTTTTTGTGTCGGAGGACGTCTCTTCACTTTATGAAGAGTGAGGTGTGGCTTCACGGAACACAGCGAGTTAGAAGTGAAGGGAATGTTGTCAGGAAGGCCGATAATGCTAGGGTCAAAGTTAAAGACATCGTCTAACATGAAAGGACATCTAAGGCCACACTTACAGGTACCAGCTGACGTCAAATAATTAAGAACCTCTTCACGAGAGCGGAGAGCTCTATTGTCAGGACTACATGTAATAAACATTAATTATATTTAACATAAATGAAAATAATTGCTGTACGTACCTGATGTAAAAGACACGCCCCTTCTCCACCAATCTTTGCCAGCCGTGGGGCACAATCACTGATGAGTTTGATAGAGACTCCATTTAATTTCTAAAAAGCAAATAAAATATAGTAATTTATCTATTGGAATTACCTTTCTCTTGATAAAAGAGATTTTATCACGACTCACATGGTGAAAGGTGCGCCAAAAATGTAATGGGTGGGTCTGATAAAGACCACGCCCATAAATCAAAATGGCTGCCTTCAAACTAGACAGAGTTAGGGAAAGATAATTTATTTGTAGTTTGTTGATGTTACTCTTTTACAGGCTGCTGTGTTGAAATCTGCTGAAGGACTTATTGACTTTGTTAATAAAGGACCCTCTCCTTATCATGGTAAGGCACAGCTGTTGACTTAACATTTTGCATTGAGACGAATTTCTGAAAAATACCCTGTACTATAGTCCATGATTTTAACAAAAATGGCTCCGAAATCACCCCCAATTTTTATTACATTTTCTGATACATATTGATGTCCTTATGCTGTGTAGAAAGTTTGAGCTGATTCCGACTTCAATTTTTCAAGTTACAGCCATTTTAAGAAAATGCCAAAATTTTGAAAAATACCCAAGGCTATAGTCCATGGTTTTTTCCAAAAAAATGGCTCCGAAATCACCCCCAATTTTTATTACATTTTCTGATACATATTGATGTCCTTATGCTGTGTAGAAAGTTTGAGCTGATTCCGACTTCAATTTTTCAAGTTACGGCCATTTTAAGAAAATGCCAAAATTTTGAAAAATACCCTGTGATGTATTGTGTCATAATATTTGTGTTTCTCATAGTTGTTGAGGAATGCAAGAGGCAGCTGATGGAGAGGAATTTTACTGAATTAAAAGAAAAGGAGTCATGGGAGATCAAACCTAATGGATTGGTATGATAAAATACACAAGTAGACATATACTGAACTTTGATAAAAGGATTACCCACAATATGAAATGTACTTTATCTGACTGATGTACATGTACATGTACATGTACATGTACATGTTTTTTTACATGTACAGTAATAGAATAGTTTATAAGTTCTCTCTCTCTCTTTTCCCTCTAGTATTTTGTCGTTAATAATTTCTCAACTATTATTGCGTTTGCAGTAGGTGGTCAGTATAAGCCTGGTAATGGTTTCAATGCTGTTGGAGCCCACACTGATAGTCCCTGCCTTAAAGTATTTAACCACTGAAATGTTAATGTGTGCTTTAGTTTATAATTTGATGCTTTAGGTGAAGCCAAGGTCTAATCGCTCACGCTGTGGTTACCTCCAGGTTGGGGTCGAGTGTTACGGAGGAGGGATATGGCACACCTGGTTTGACAGGGACTTGACAGTTGCTGGACGAGTTGTTGTTCGTGTAAGCTAATCCAGAACATGTTTTTTTATGTTGATAACTACACAGTACTATGGAGTTGTTCATTATTATTATTATTATTATTATTATTATTATTATTATTATTATTATTATTGTGTCTTTATTATGAACTGCTCAGTCCAGCGAAGGTTTGGAGCATAAACTGGTTCATATCAAGAAGCCAATCCTTTGTGTCCCTAATGTCTGCATTCATCTTGCTCGTGATGATCATCTCAAGTTTGCTCCTAACAAGGAGAATCACATGTAACCAGCCACCATTCAAGCATTCCATCATTATATTATATTATGTTCATAGTCTGCCAGTTTTAGCTACTTCAACAATGCAGGAGCTTCAGAAGCCGATAGATGTATCTTCATGTCCAGCTGGGTCTGTGGTAGGTCGTATCAATGTTATCATTGTTATTATATTTTAACGAAGGCACGTAACCACACCCCTCATTTGATAACGCTCCTGTGTAAAGACCTCTCGTGTAGTCCTGGAGATGTACTTGATTTTGATCTCCATCTTGCCGACACCCAACCAGCCGTTAGTTAACTATCAGTTATATTGTCCCCTTCTCTCTATTGTCCTGTGACTGTAACTTGTTGCTATTATGTACACATACACTCTATTAGTCTGTCAGTTTGTACCTTATCACTGTCTGTGTCTCATGTTCATCACTACAACATGTGATCAGTTTCTGTTCTCTTCTTCTTCTTCTTCTTCTTGTTATTCATTAGACGGTAGGAGGTGCTCTGGATGAGTTTATTCATGCCCCAAGACTTGACAACTTATTCAATTGCTACACTGCCCTACAGGTAACACGTGATTCATGTACATGTACATGTACATGTATATATACTGTATGTAACAGGGCCTGTTTGATAGTCTCCCTTCACTTGCTGAAGAGACTAATGTTAGGATGGTAGCAATGTTTGATAATGAAGAGGTTAGTTATTAATGTTAGGCTATGGGTTGATCCACTGGCTGATGAGTAGGTTGGGTCTCAGAGCGCTCAGGGGGCGGGGTCATCTCTGCTTGAATTTATAATGAGAAGAATATCAAATGGTAATAATCATTAATAATAATTAATATTATATTAATTTATTATTAGGAGGATCAGCTGTAGCTTTTGAAGAATCAATTCCAAAATCATTTCTTGTTTCCGCTGATCAAGCTCACGCCATTCATCCTAATTATTCGTAATGAGTCATCATTAATTCATTATTTGATTTTATGATTTCATTTCTGATTTCTTGTAGAGAGAAACACGAGTATAACCACACCCCTTTCCTTCATGGTGTAAGCTCATAACATCTTGTGTGTCTCTCTACTGTACTATACTGTCCATGTGTGCCTCCTCTATATAATGTACTGTATCCTTAGGGTCCTGTATTGAAACTTAATGCTAATCAACGCTATGCTACAACTGCCATTACTGCTTCCATCCTCAGGGAAATAGCTAAGAAAGCTTCAGTACCATTACAAGTTAGGAATGAACTGTCTCTCTCTCACATTATCACATATACCGTTATTAGGAGGTGGTTGTTCGTAATGATAGCAGCTGTGGATCAACCATTGGTCCTATACTATCAGCAAAGCTAGGACTAAGGACAGTTGGTTAGAATAATACCCTTTATAACCCTCTCCTTTCACCTTTCTTCCTCTCTCTCTCCAGATATTGGCAGCCCACAGTTGAGCATGCACTCAATCAGAGAGATGGCCTGTACTACTGGAGTCCTCCAATCAATTCTTCTTTATACAGTATGATCCTCTCACTCTCTCTCCCTCTGTTTATCAGTGTACTTTGTGTAGAGTTATTTCAATAACTTCACGACACTTGATGCCAGTATCAAGTACTGATCATGATTGATTCCTACTACCTCTTATAGTAGTGAAGGATGATGAACTAACTTTTTTATAATTATTGTTAAAAGGAATTTATAAGCTACTCCTATTGCTGTTCATAATTATTGTTTGGTATAAATCTGTAAAAGGCAATAGAATATTAAAATAATAAATTACTAATAAAAATAATCTAAAATATTTTTAAAAATTATTGTTCGGACTGCTTGAGGTGCTGGCTCCATGCTTTCCTTGCTTCTTCTATATAATTCTCCTTTCCTTCTTTCTTCAAGTAATCCTTGTAGCCTTTCACAGCAGTCCGCATTAGATCCAGGAATGTTGGAACACCAGTCTGTGATACAAATAATTATCAATAAATAATAATTCCAACAACACTAGCAGTTATTATATTGACTGTTACCTTAGCTGCCCAGTTGATCAACATGGCCGGTATCATTCCTTTTGGATTATCATAATAATGCATGAACGCTGCACCATAATAACAAGAAACAATTCATTATACAATAACGACAACAACAACAATAATAACAACCTTTTGATCCAGTTGCTCCATCACTTTGCATGGCACAGCACTGATTAAAGTCATCTACTCTAATGATTCCGTCCTTTTCTGGACAATTTGAAAACTTTCGACTTCGACAGATGACAACCCAAGTCTGCTGTCCGTCTACCATCATCATCCTACCCTCCCTGATGAAAGTGTACTGAACACATCATCAATGCTAAGGAAACATGATACATATTAATATATATGTACAGAGAGAGAGAGAGTGAGTCCTGCTTGAAGAAGTCATACTAATAGTACATGTACATATTCTCTTGCCAAGAGAGAGTTGGATACATCTCTGTCAGACATTGGCCAGGGATAATCCACTGCCCAATAGAGTCCATCTAAACCACTGGCTTCATCTTTGATTGGTTTCAAATCTAATTACATTCCATTAATTAATGAGTGCCCACCAGCTATTGACCATACCCAATACATAAGTGTCCCATTTCTTCCTGTACTGCCAGTCCAGGTAGACCATAGCACATATCTCAGGATCAAGGTCCGCCATGATACCATGAGTCTTATACTCATAAAGACCAGATTCCTAAGTATATGTACATGTATCAATTAAAGATGAAATGATTTGAATATATACCTCATACCTCCTTATATTTCCTGTATATCTTGACCCCCATACACTCCACGAACAGCTCCCAGCTATCGTCCAGGGCTGGGTTCTGCACTTGCTTGGCGGCCTCAAGGAACTCCTCGTCCGTAAAGATCCCAGTAGGCTGAGAGTATATCCCTGCTTCTGCAGGGGCCACTACAGAGGAGGCAGCCATTGTTACGCATGCGCAGTAAGATGTCCCGGGAATCAAATTCGATGGCGGGCTCAGTCCGGCCCACCATTTGGCGGGAAATACATATAAAATGGAGGGTAGTTCATCTTCTTCACCTGCTCCTGGGCTTAAGTCCGCCTTCTCCTCAGAGTATGATCGTTCTCAGCTTCCTGACCTTTTAAAGTTCTATTACTCCTGGATATTTCCTTATCAGAAATATTACGAGTGGCTCTGCTATGGTATGCACCGCCCACTCAAAGTACATGTAACTGAATATGTACATGTACATTAATTAAGAGGGTTGTACTATAATTACTCTCGGCTGGTTTAGCAGCTGGTTTTAATACGAAATGTCCCTCCATACATTATTGTGTTGCTCCACCTGCTACTGCTAATACTTCATGTTAATGTTCTTTTTGAAGATGAGGATAGTTTCAGCCACAGAGAGTTCTCCTTCACGTTGGAAGATGACGTTTATGTCCGTTATCAGTCGTTTGACTCCTGCTCTGCTCTCAAGGAAGGAATTAGGAAGAACTGTCCATTTAAAATTGATATTGGAGCCATTTTTAATCACAAGGTCATTACATGTTATTATTATTATTATTATTATTATTATTATTATTATTATTATTATTATTATTATTATTATTATTATTATTATTATTATTAATATTATTATTATTATTATTATTATTATTATTATTATTATTATTATTATTATTATTAAAAAAAAAAAAAAAAAAATTATTAATATTATTATTATTAATATTATTATTATTAATATTATTATTATTATTATTATTATTATTATTTTAATTATTCTTCAATAGCCTAGGATACACAAGTCCATTCAGCCAGGAAACTTTAGAGCCGAGAGCAAAGAGCTGGTCTTTGATATTGATATGACCGACTATGACGACATAAGAACCTGCTGCAGGTACCAACCAACAGAATGAGTTTATAGGATAGGACCGTGGGCTAGCCTTGGGTATCTTTCTGAATTTTGGCATTTTCTTAAAATGGCCATAACTTGAAAAATTATGTATTGGAATCAGCTCAAACTTTCTACACAGCATAAGGGCATCAATATGTATCAGAAAATGTAATAAAAATTTGGGGTGATTTTGGAGCCATTTTTGGAAAAAAACCATGGGCTATAGCCTTGGGTATTTCTCTGAATTTTGCCATTTTCTTAAAATGGCCGTAAGTTGAAAAACTGAAGTCAGAATCAACTCAAACTTTCTACACAACATAAGTACATGTATATGATTTAGAAAACGTAATAAAATTGAGAAATATTTTACTTGTGAATTTTTGTAAAATTTTGGAAAAATCCCTGTACTATAGTACAGGGACTTTTGTCCGATTTTTGAGCAACTTTTAAAAATCATAAAAAATCCAAACTTGATCGGAATCAGCTGAAACTTTCTACACAACATAAGTACATGTATATGCATCAGAAAATGTAATAAAATTGAGAAATATTTTACTTGTGAATTTTTGTGAAATTTTAGAAAAATCCCTGTACTATAGTACAGGGACTTTTGTCCGATTTTTGAGCAACTTTAAAAAATCATAAAAAATCCAAACTTGATCGGAATCAGCTCAAACTTTCTACACAACATAAGTACATGTATATGCATCAGAAAATGTAATAAAATTGAGGAATTTTCTACTTGTCAATTTTTGTGAAATTTTAGAAAAATCCCTGTACTATAGTACAGGGACTTTTGTCCGATTTTTGAGCAACTTTTAAAAAATTATAAAAATTAATCCAAACTTGATCGGAATCAGCTCAAACTTTCTACACAACATAAGTACATGTATATGCATCAGAAAATGTAATAAAATTCAGGAATTTTTTACTTGTCAATTTTTGTGAAATTTTAGAAAAATCCCTGTACTATAGTACAGGGACTTTTGTCCGATTTTTGAGCAACTTTTAAAAAATCATAAAAAATCCAAACTTGATCGGAATCAGCTCAAACTTTCTACACAACATAAGTACATGTATATGCATCAGAAAATGTAATAAAATTCAGGAATTTTTTACTTGTCAATTTTTGTGAAATTTTAGAAAAATCCCTGTACTATAGTACAGGGACTTTTGTCCGATTTTTGAGCAACTTTTAAAAAATCATAAAAAATCCAAACTTGATCGGAATCAGCTCAAACTTTCTACACAGCATAAGTACATGTATATGCATCAGAAAATGTAATAAAATTCAGGAATTTTTTACTTGTCAATTTTTGTGAAATTTTAGAAAAATCCCTGTACTATACAGGGACTTTTGTCCGATTTTTGAGCAACTTTTAAAAAATCATAAAAAATCCAAACTTGATCGGAATCAGCTCAAACTTTCTACACAGCATAAGGGAATTGATATGTGTGTAATACTATTTTATTTATTTATTTTAGTGATGCTAATATTTGTCACAATTGTTGGACGTTTGTCAAAATTGCCATCAAAATCATTGACAGGGCCCTCAGTGGTAACTGATTATTAATTGAAAGGTTCTTTTTAATTATTAATTTATTGTAGAGGACTTTGGTTTTTCCCATCGTCTTTGGGTTTACAGCGGAAGGAGAGGAGTCCATTGCTGGGTCTGTGACCCTCAGGCTAGGAAACTGAGTCAGTCAGCAAGAACTGCCATTGCAGAGTATCTTACGCTAGTTAAAGTGAGTCTCTCTCTCTCTCTGTATACAGTGAGCCTGTGGTGAGTTTATTATTTAATTGTTAAAGGGAAACGATCAACAAGTGAAGAAGGTCAGTCTAAAGCAGCCAATCCATCCTTCAATAAAGTAGAGATACCTTCACCACTAGTAGGTACTAATGGACTCTCTCTCTCTATTAGTAATGCCTTGGGTATCATTGATGAATATATTGAGACACTAGTGATGGAACAGGACTACCTTTCCTCTGAGGAAAGATGCAACAAACTTGTAAGATGTCTCCCAAGAAGGTACTTGTGTGTGTGATGATAAAATAATAATTGATTTCAACTGTTTTTAAAGATATTCTGAACAGTTACAGGAAGATTGGAAAGCTAGAAATGAAACGTCATGGACAAGATGGCAACGGATGGAGTCAGTACTAAACAGAGATACTGATGTATGTTTATTCATGTACAGATTTGCCTGTCTGGGTTAAGGATAATGATGATGATGATGATGATGATGATGATGATGATAATGATGATGATGTGTTTGTTATTAGGATAGAACATGCAAGGAGGTGAAGCTACAGTACTCTTACCCTCGTCTTGATGTTAATGTCACTAAAGGTCTCAACCATTTGCTGAAGAGTCCTTTATGTGTCCACCCTAAGACAGGTCAGTACTACTGATGGTCCCTTCAGTAAACACTTCACTAATGTTACTTTGATTGATGAATATTAGTACAAAAATTGACAGGATTGACCATCAAATTTTTACAGGCAGAGTCTGTGTTCCTATTAATTTGAAAGAGATTGATGATTTTGATCCGTTTGCTGTCCCGACAGTCAGTCAGTTGTGCCACGAGTTTGAAACCAGAACTGATGGGAAGAAAGGTCAGTCTATACTTTAATGCTCTACTCAATGACCAGTTCATGTATCTGGTAATGAATGGAGAATGGATACTCTCCCTCCCACTGGTTAATGTCCTTATTCTCTTGCTAGATTATCATTGTACATCACTGGCTCCTTATATGACGACTTTTGTTCATTTTGTCACGTCTCTTCAAAGTTCCTCATCAGCTCAGAGAAGGAAATCAGGTACTTGTGTTGACATTATTATTAATTTTTTTAATATTTTCTTGTAGGAGCAACTAGTATGGACTTTTAGCTCAGTTTTGTTTCAATTTCAAACACTTTTTGATTTTTAAACATAAACTTTATTATACAGAGAGAGAGAGGCAGTAACTATATATTAACAATAGGAGTCCATGAAGGACTACTAGACACAATAAATGAATGATTTATAGATTAAGTTCTAGTTGTGCTTGCCCTTTTTCTGTTTCTTAAATTTCTTTATTTTCTTATCATTCGAATCTTCATCAACTGCTGAAACTCTTCGTTTTGACCTTGAGACAGCAATCAATATCACATGTGCATTAATTAGAACTGTTACCTAGCAACACTAACGATATTCATATCTTTCCCAGAGGAGAGAGCATCAGTCCAGCCATCGTCAGCATCAATAGCAAACCTATAAAATAAACCACATCCACTAGCAGCTAAACCACACCTACTCACTCTGATAAATCACTATTCTTCATTTTGAGTTCTTTTGAAACGGAATCTGCTGCTTTAGTTAGCTCCGCCTCGAGCCCTTCCTTGAGTGGGCGTGTCTCAGGAGGTGGGGCTAAAGATGGAGGGAGCTCTTTGGCAATGACCTCCTCTTTTATTGAATTGAAACTCGAAACAAATTTACGAATACAGCGATTAAATAGAGCCATTAACTGGGATATGGGTAGTTGTAATTCCGACTATTAATAATAATAATAATAATAATGATACATTGCCCCTCCCACTTACCTCTAGTGTCTCTATCCTCTTGTGCTGTAGTCCAATTCTAATGAGAATAGACTAAAAAAGACAATTAAAGTTTAAAATAATTAATAATTCAAAAACCTTTTGAATTAATGACAACGAGAATGAAACCTTGTTAGTAAAATAAAGGAGAGACACTAAAATAAATAAATTAATTAAATTATGATAAAAGTTGGTCGTACACTTTGGAATTAGATCAGTGACAAGATGATAGTCAGCCATGTTACGAGAGTAGAGATCGAGCCTCTTGAGGTCGTAATTATTGAAATGAGTCATCAACTGATCGTGTGAGAGGTGACATAACTCTAGTCCCTTAGCTTGAAGGAGAGAGAGGGCCAGGGAGGCAGGGAACTCAGAAAATTGGAACGAAAGTAGATACAGAAAGCGATTACAAAAATCTAAAAATAGAACACAACACAAAACCATGTACCATGTACATGTACATATATGTGCATCAGATCAAGCAATGAAAGGTGTACAGTAGACGGTTAGTTTATAAAGGTCTAGAGTACCTTTGTGATACTGGTAGAGCCAGTCAGAGTCAGTATCTAGGGTCCTTATCATTATGCAGGAGTGCTCTCCCGTCAAATCATTCTATAAATAGACACGTAACCATGACAACGATTAGCCACACCTACCGGAGTCTGTCTGAGGTACACTGGACAAAAACCAGCTCTCTTCCAAAACCTAACGAAACAATTAATAATTATTAATTATTAATTATTAATTGAAATAACCCACACCCACTTTAATAACTGAGGTGTGAGTCCGTATGACACGCCTACATAATCCAATGATTCTGGAACCCTCTCCGATAGTTTAGTTAATAATGGGGGGAGGTTTGAACGAGGAACAATGACATCATCCTAATTAATAATTAATAATAATCAATGAATATTAATTACCTTTTCAATTGGTTTTGAAGTGTCCATTTCATTAGTGTCTTCTTCAAGATTAGGGAACTTCCCTTCGTAATAATTCACTAACAGCTGCAACGCCTGAGACCCATAACCCATCTATGGAGAATCAGTATACTAACACATAAAGCACATCTACTGCAATGAATCAGAGAATGAAGAGTCATTAGTTACAGTTACAGTTACATGGAGTAGTAACAGTTACAGTTAGTTACAGTTACAGTATGTCATGTATGCAGTAGTGACTCACTCCAATAACATCTGGATGTGTTGCAATACGAACAATTCTAACACCAGAAAGACTTGGAAAATCATGATCAACAAACTAGCGTGTGGTTATACTAATATCAATAAAAGTGGGACTGGTTATTATGAACCTGTTGAGATAAAGTCCATGGTATGAGGTCACCTGATGCTCTCTTCCCCTGGGACAGGCCGGACATTATAGAACCTTTGGATATCTGACCCTCCAAACAAACCTAAGGAGATATGGACAGGGACATGATGAATGAAGGAAGAGGAGGAACACAGTAATGATGATGATCATGATCATGTAGTTAGTTGGGGAACAGTTACAATAATTATATTAAACAGTAAAAGAGTTGATAAGTTTTGATTGACAGAAACTAGAAGTACATGTACCTGTACCTGTACCTGTATTACACAGAGAATGTCAGGGAGTGTAGTCTGCTGGTCGGTCACTGGAGGGAGGAGTACAAACATGTGGTGGGCAGGTGCATCAGAGAGGAGCTGGAGATCATTGGGAGTGTTCTTGTAATGGGAGGAGACATAGAGGGACATCATTTGATGAAGGAAGACCTCAGAAGACTTGTGATATGAGAACAAGGTATCCCGATTAACATAATACCTGGTAGGAAGAGAGAGTTCATTATTAGATTCTTCTAATAAACTAACAGTTGACAGTCTTTGGGAGGAGGGCAGCCTGTTATTATCCTGGAGATATTGGCAGCATCCAAACATAGGACCTTATGTAGCCATTGCTCCACATGATCACCAGATGAATAACGAATAGGCTCAGATAAGGACACCTCATGCAACACACGACCTGATGACAATAATAACAATAATAATAATAAAGTAATTAATTGATTACCTGAGGCTCCACCCCCTACCACACTCTGTCTCCTCAGTTGCTCTATCAGTTTGAGGGACAGTGATCTTCCTGTTCCCTCATATCCATTAACAGTGGAGGCCATGAACACCAGGTAAGGACCCAACAGGTTCTTGACTAGCGGGAGAGGAATAGCAGCTGCTTCATCAATACAGACCAGCTCCGCCTGTTCTAGTTTATGAGAGTCGCTCGGTGAAATATATTGAATAGTTTGTCTGTGCTGGGTGTAAACATTGATCCTAATGACTGCCTTGTTGAACTCAGGGTTGGTGCTCTGTATCACGGTATAGTCCTCATGCTCCTGATAACCCAGAGCATCAAAACCTTTTAAAACAAACTCAAACAAAGTCTTTAGGTTCTCAGGAGATGGACTCGTCACAAATATATTGGAATAACTAATGAATATAATTAAACATTAATTAGTGGGAGGGGCAGGGGAGGGGCTTACCTAAAAGCAACAGCTCCAGCTATAGCAAGACCCAGAGCTGCACTCTTACCCCGCCCCCTGCTTGCCGTGATAGCAACAGTGCTGGATAGAGTCTTTTCAGAAATGGCCTCTATACATTTAAGAACAGCCTTCCCTTGATCAAGAGTCTTGGCAGAGGACAATAAAGAACCGACTGGTTGGGTATCTTGTAAGGATTCCTTGAGAGACTGTAGCTCCACTTGCTGAGACGATAAGGACTCATCCTACAGAATGAATGACACTGCACACCTGGTAATTTAGGAGGAGAGGGTTTCAGCTAATAATTATTAAACTTTTGGTGATTGGTCAGTTTTAATTTGGCAAATTTGTGGTCAAAAGCCATTCAGCATGTACATAATAGTTTAAAATGCTGAGCTTAATTTGGCAAACGGCTATCACAATCACCAAGATATATCCTTCAAAATTACCAGCTGTACAGCACTATTAGCAACAATGTACATGTACATTGGAGGTACTTTTGATTTATGTTGCAATGGCTCAATGGTCTTCATTGCTGATGAGAGAGGAATCACATTCAACTGGTCATCAATCACCAAACAACACTTGGTATCAGCAAGAGATAATATGAACCTACCAAATAATAATAATAATAATAATAATAATAATTATTATTATTATTATTATTATTATTATTATTATTATTATCAATTATCAATTAATTAATAAATTACCTCTCATTAAATCGTCCCACCACATGCTGATGTGCCTCAGTCCTATATCTAGAGTGTACGTCCATTGTCATAGTGTATAGCTGCTTCAGGGACGTCATGTTCTGTAGCAATATCACAATAGCTCCGCCCCCTTCAACAGTCTCTACTGTACGAGCTAACAGGTTGGGAGTAATGGCCTCAAAATCCTAAAAATAATAAATTAATTAATGAATGAATTATTAATTAATTAATTAATTACCTGTAACACACACATCCCATAAGTGTTACCAAGGATACGGTGAGTGTCAGAGTAATAGCAGTATCTTATTGAAGTTGATGATATGAAGAGGTCAAATGGATTCTCATCGCTCCCTTCTGCTGAGCCTGAAGACTTTAACTTCTTCTTCATTTGCTTCATTCTCTTCTTTCGATGAGTGGAGAAACCCAGTTCCTTCTTGTAGCACCAGAGGACGCTGGGACGAGACTTTATGGAAGCCTTACTGAGCATGTGATGCAACAAAACAACCTAATAATATTATTATAGATTAGTTAGTACAGACCTGAGGACTCCACTTACCTGGTCTCGCCCTTTCTCCCCGAGTATGAGAAAGAGGCTCCTGTGCCCTGACTCGACCCCATTCTCAATGAGTGTCTTGATTCTGTTGTCCACTTTCTTTCTAGGCATCTTCTGAGTCGACGGGCTGACAGCACGTGGTCGCTTGAAACCACGCCTTGTACACTCCCCCAGGTTATATTACTCTCCTTTTAGGAGAAGTTTGGGTGTCTCCTTCTCTCTTTAGTCCTTAAGAGTCTCTCTTATGATATAGAGGAGTATAGGAAAGATAGAAAGGAATGGTTTTAGGATTAGGGATCTATGTGAGAAAGCCGCCATTTTGTTTGGTTGTGATTTACAAGTCCGTATATTATTAGTAAAATTGAAATCACCAAAACTTTATACACAAAGGAATGAAAAAATGGCATTTTTTTCATTTTCCGGATACTCCCAAGTGCAAGTATCCGGTAATTTCATTTTTCTCATTCCTTCGTGTATAAAGTTTTGGTGATTTAAATTTTACTAACAATAAACGGAGACTTCTGCGCAAGCGCAGTATGTCACATTCAAGCACCGCCTTTTTTAATTTTTCTGGTCTATCCACAAAAATTTTATCGAGTTGTGTAGTCTCCACCCATTAACTCCTCCTCTTTCTCGCTTGAATATACGTGAGGGTACACACTTACAATAGAGGTGGTTCTCTTCTCTTCTTTTGATTCGAGTAACGACTCTTTTGCCAGTTTTTAGTCTCCAGGTTTCCAGCCTTTAGGCAGAAGCATCTCCCCCAAAACCTTTATTTCTTAGATTTTTCGAAAAGTAAAGATAAGCGGCTCCCGCTTTCCCTCTCTCTCCCTCTCTCTTTCTCTCCTTGCTTTTAAAGAGAAGCATGGACGGTAAGACATTCAAAAACACGTTAATTAGCATTTTGTAGTTTACAAACATCATTGAAATAATAATAATTTGTATATTAAACATTATTGTAATAATTCTTACATCATTATAATTGTAATCATCATCATCATTATTATTATTATTAATTCTTTGCAGATATTCGTAGTTGGTGGGAAGTGCCCTGTATTGCTCATTTTTGTCACATTTTCGCTAAACCTTTCAAACTAGTTGACTTTGATATTGAGGTACTTATACACGTTATAATGATACAAGTACACTTTGTCATGTAACTTATAATAAAGTGCAGTTCACGTCTTCTAATGAATAGATGTAGACATTAATATGAGGTACATTACAAGGACATGTTTGACTTCTATAACATGTACATGTACACACTACCCTACTGTGTAATGACATGTAAGTCATGTTTATATCCGAGCTCTTTCTCTCTCCCTCTCTCTTTCCTTCTCCCCCCCCCCTCTCTCTCTCTCTCTCTCTCTTCCTCAGGAGTTAGAGGACACATTACTACTTGATGAAGTCAAAGATGGCTCCACTCCCTCATTATTGGTCAATCTCTATTGTGGATTGCTGAATGGGATAGTTGATAAAGAAGTCAAGTATGTTTTTAAATATTTAAACCACCAACTACTGCTCTCTCTCTCTCTCTCTCTCTCTCTCTCTCTCTCTCTCTCTCTCTCTCTTTCTCTCTCTCTTAGTGAGGAGAATTGGGAGTTCTTTCTTAAAATGCACTTGCAATGGAGGGTAGATCATCTTGGAGAAGAATGGAATCCCCACAAGGACAAAATTTACAAGTTGGTCATAACGAGATTCGTCTGGCTCTCTTGTCCTAATAGTAGAGACATACTAGTTCTTTCCTTAACCATCAATATGTACATGTATATATTGGACTGATATTGTAGTGTTGTGGTTGAGAATGGATTAGAAAGGCATGAGTTGACTTGGTGGATCATTTACAACCTTTTGATCCATTTAAAATTGAGACAAAATTGGCCAACAAATTTTAATTGTGTGTCACTTTTGAAACCTTTGCCTTATAAAGTTTACATGTACTTGGTACATGTACATGTACCTAATGTTACATGTACATGTACATGTACATGTAGTTAATATTATTTAATGCTACATGTACTTATTGCAGGGATCTGGACACTCGTACTAAGGTTGAGATTCTTCATAAAATGATCCACTGGAGGATGGAGCTGGATGACATTGGTGACCTGCTGAGGGTAAGACTAACTGTGTGTGTGTTTGTGGTTTTGGATTATATCAAAAATGAATGTTGTTTATAAATGTACTGCTCCCTAGTGCCCTCTGAATATTATAAGCTAGAGATTATGCACATTCCTTTTATTCCAACTCCTTCTCAATGATATACAGTACATGCTCTACCACCTGTGCCTCATACAACATCTTGTTTTATCTTAATTCATAATACTAGCTGAGCCTCTACAAGTGCTGCCATTGTTACTGACAATTGACATATTCACTCACCTCCAGTCTACTCTAACATGTACCAGTATACAGTACATGATATCACACTGTCTTAATGTAGCATCCTCCATTAATAGGTGTACTGTGTGTGTATTGTATTAATGATACTGTAGTCCTCTAGTCTACTCTAATATGTACTGTACCTCTATACACAAACTGTATTATATAATAGCACCAGTACAATTACCACTCTATGTGAGGGGCAGTACCCTCCATTGATAGGTGTACTGTGTCTATTGTATTCTGTAGGGTTTAGATGGGCCTACATTACGTGTCCAATCAATTGGTAAAGATGAGTCTGGTAATGTCTACTGGTACTTTTATGGTACGAGGCTCTACCTGGAGACTCCAAAGAAGAAACCTCCTCGTAAAACCAAACAGGACCAGTCCACAGGTCCCAAAGGAAAGAAAGGGCGTGGCTCTAAGACAAATAAGGTCCTGACCCCGCCCCCTCAGACTGACGGAGAGGAGGAGGGTGGGGTCTGGAAGATGGTGTGTTCTACAGTGGAGGAGTGGGAGGAGCTTGTTGAGGACCTGAGCAACACAAAGAGGGGGGAGGGACGGAAACTCTACAATTACATCAACAATGAGCTCCTACCTGATGTACTCCATAGTCTACATCAGAAGGTAGTACTAGTTTAATAACTATTAATTAACTGTTGATTTATTTGTTAGGAGAAGATGTTTAAGAAGAAGTTGTTGGCTGAGATGCCTAGGAGGACATCAGACAGACTAGCACAGAAGGCAGAAGAAGTATTATTTTATTTTTTATTTACTTTAATTTGTTTTTTTATTTGTTTATCAGGAGATATATGAAGCTCTAGCAAGAGAGAAGCAGCGAGAAGAGAACAGACTACTTGAAGCTGAGGAGAGAGCCCAGAAAGAAGCTGAAGCTGAGAGAAAGCACAGGGAGAAGATGGAGGAAGTGATTAAAAGACGTAAAGCAAAAGAAGAGGAACAAATAAAGCAGCGACAAGAGGAGGAGAAGAACTGGTCCCTGGCCATGAGTGGGGAACTGAGTGGACCAAGGCAAGCTGCTATAGGAGCAGTACAAGGAGTAGTAGAGACACAGCATCTCATTGAAGACTCTTACAAAGATGAAGTGCTCTACACTGCCATGTATAAAGGTATGTACATGTACATGTACACATATATTGGTTACTGTACATTGGTTACTGTACATTGGTTACTGTACATTGGTTACTGTACATTGGTTACTGTACATTGGTTACTGTACATTGGTTACTGTACATTGGTTACTGTACATTGGTTACTGTACATTGGTTGAGCATTCTAAATGAGCTGAGAATAGACCTTATACTTGTAATATACAGTAGCTAGGATATGCAGCAACTTTAAAAATTCATAAAAAAATCCAATTTTGATTGTAATCAGCTCAAACTTTCCACACAACATATGTACATGTACATGTATATATTATTATTGTATTTTATTAGTTCTGAGTGGTTTAAGGCGTCACGAGGATGGCTGGGTTTTTGAGGAACCAGTTTCTGAAGACATTGCCCCTGGTTACTTTGATGTAGTTGATAAACCAATGGACTATCAAACTGTGGAAAAGAAAATAGAATCACAGCAATATACCACAAAGGAAGAAGTAAGAAAGAATGTATACAGTGTAGCCTCTTTAATAAGGACACCTTTATAATGAGGACATTTTGTAATGTCCCAAAAGTACCTCTAAAATGAGGACACCTCTGAAATGGTGTCCTTAATAAAGAGGCTACACTGTACATGCATTAAGGACAGGTAGTGTGGATCCAATGGTGTCCTTAATAAAGAGGCTACACTGTACATGTATTAAGGACAGGTAGTGTGGGCCCAATGGTGTCCTTAATAGAGAGGCTACACTGTACATGTATTAAGGACAGGTAGTGTGGGCCCAATGGTGTCCTTAATAGAGAGGCTACACTGTACATGTATTAAGGACAGGTAGTGTGGGCCCAATGGTGTCCTTAATAAAGAGGCTACACTGTACATGTTCATTATTATCATTATCACCTTCCTTTAGTTTGTCACTGACATTGAGCTGATATTTGCCAACTGCAAAGCTTACAACGGAGAAGAGAGTGAGTATTATGCACTGGCTGGAGAGATGGACGAATTATTGAAGAAACTGCTGACAGAACAGTTTGTGGATGAGATGCTTAACAAAGTTGAGGAGGAGGAGGAGGAGGGAAAGAGAGGGAAGAAGAAGAACTCACCCTCTCCTGAACTAACCTCTGAGAGCTCAGAGGAGAGCGAGGAGGAGAGCGAAGTGGATGAGGACGATGATGACACAATTGATAACATTAAAAAGAAAAAGAGAAGCAAGTCCAAAGTAGTCCTGCCTATGTCACACCCCCAACTGATGGGAATGAGACCACAGGTACCAGGAATGAGCCGGGGGATGTTCCCCCCTCCCCACATGATGCGTCCAATGATGTCACCTGAAATGATGGGATACCCCCCTCAGTATCCCTATCCCCCGTACATGCACATGCGCCCGCCCGCCAGGGACATGTATTACCCGCCCCCGGACTACCCTCCTCGTTATCCTTATCCTATGAACGGAGCCCCGCCCCCTTACAGGCAACACATGTATCCTCCTGATTACCCAATGCCTCCAATGGCCCGGGGACCTCATCCAATGGGTGGGGCTATGCCGCCCAATCAATTACATAACCCAAGGGGCGGGGCACCAGTCCCACCCACTCAAATGCCTAATGGACCTCCAATGGAACAAGCCCCACCTGCTAGTGCCCCGCCTACTAATATTCCTAAAAGAGTTAGTTCTCCAAGAGTTTCCAGTACCGTACAGACTCCACCCACTTCTGGTGATGAGCATGATGATGGGCGGAGTCAAGATGAGAATGCTCCACCCAAAGAAGCTCCACTCAAGGAAGATGAGTCTAAGGAGGTGAAGGAGACTGATGATAAAAGTGTTCGTGGTGGGGACACGCCCTCTAACCCTCCTCCCCCTGGATACCCCTATCAGCCACACCCATCAATGTATCCAAATTGGCCTCACCCACAAATGAGAGGGGAATACCCTCCGCCCCCTCACTTGATGAATGAACGTTACTATCAATCAATGAGACATAGAATGCCCCCTGGTGGGAGTTACCCACCCCCTGGGGGAAATTATCCACCCCCTCCCATGGGGGACCATCCCTCAATGTGGAATGGGCACCCACCTTATCCAGGGATGGGCGGGGCTGGTTACACCCCCCAGCAGATGATGATGATGGAGAGACAGAGACGAGCCTATTACGAGTATCAGATGAGGTTAAGAATGAGGGGACCAGGACCACAAACCCCACCCACTCAATCAAGTAAATATAATTAATAACTAATATTATTATTTATTATTAATTTAGGAGCTACTCCACCAAGCTCAGCTTCTCCCAGCAATAAAACAAAAGATCACGTGGCTCCACCTGTAACCACACCCTCTGCTCCACCCACAAATACTGAATCTGCTGAAACTGATAAAGATAAAGTTAATAATAATGAAGATCAGTTGACTAAAGGAGACAGTGAAGATACTAAAGCTACCGGTGGTTCTACTGACAGTAAAGGTGATGATGATGATAAAGATGAAGGAGGAAAACCACAGGATGGTGTCACTAAAGAAGAGTCTAATCATAAAGAAGAGGTTAATCATAAAGGTGACAGTAATTCTAAAGAACCTCCTAAACCAAAGCATTATCCACACCCTTCTCCCCATCCCTCTTGGCCACACCAGTATCATCCCATGATGTCCAACGGTTACGCCCCCCACATGCAGCAGCCTCAGTCGCCTTATCATCACATGTATCCTAGAGGCCACGCCCCTCCTCCCCACCACCACCCGTCCAATCAGATGCAATATCCACCCCATCATTATCCAGGTTAACCACTTAATGCATTGAATCTATTAATAGTAACAATAATCTATTAATCGTAACTTTATCACATTTTTAGATCCTTCCTTTTACGGTCATGGTGGGCGTGGTTACAGTCCAGCGGAAATGGAGCGATGGCAGTACATGGAAATGATGCAAAGACACCACCGCCATCAACAACAACAACAGCAACAACAACAACAACAACAACAACAATGGCTGATGAGTCAACAACAGAGGAGTGGTTCAGGTACTCCTCCAGTCAAGAGATCTAGACCAGATCTGGAGGAAGGGACTCCACCTCTTAAAGACTCCAATACTGACCACACCCACAAGACAGATAGTAACCACACCCAACCACCAGCTTCTACTGAAGCTCCTCCTCCCAGTAAACTAGCTAAGATTGCTCCAGTAGCTGAAGGTGAAGGAGGAAAGGTTAATGGTGTAGCAGGAGAGGAAGATGATGGTGAAAGAGCTGTTTGATCATAATTAATAGTTTTTACACATTATGATACAATAATATTACTAATAATACAATAACATTAATATAGGCATTCATTCATTTCACATACACTCTCCCTCCCTCTCTCTGTCTTAACACAGCACATACAAAACATTTCTGTCATTCATCACAACCTTTTTCTTTTTTTCTAATTATAAAATTTAAAATATATTAAGTAGCATGGCATTCAGTTGATCACTCATTCTTCTGAGTCTCATTTCCTTGCACTGTGTGTGTTCTTAATGTGTGGTGTGGTGTGTTTGATTTGTTGCATTATTATTCATTATAAACTCATGAATGTTTTCACACCCACTGGACCATTTGAGATCTCGAGACAAAGTCTCAATAGTTTTAGCGACTCTATATAAATGTCGGATGGCCATCATCATGCAGCTGCTAGTAGGACAGCAGCTAGCAGTAGCTCAGGCTGTACTGGACAGAAACTGTCTCTGGCTTAGTGGCTAGTGGGCTTTGTCCTCTGCTGCAGACCTATAAGTTATGTATCTATCATGCGATGCCATGCTGCCGGGCTGATCTGGTGTGATCCTACTTATGGTTCGATTTCCTAACGCGTCATTATCTTGTTTCCTGTACTGACCTTTGTTGGGTTGCATAGATCTCTACCAATCGGATCTTTAGTTTCACAGTACGTACTGCACGTGGTATGTTCAGTCAGTGGTGTGTTTTTTATGAGACCATGAGGAAACCTTATAAGATCATGCATAGTTCAAAAATATTTGTTTGTTCTATTTCTTTAGACTTTATCAAAAAATAATTCATGGCAAGTTCTTCAGTTTTGAATGTCTCTCATTTGAGCAGTGAGTCTGCTCCAGCAGTGGTTAATCATTACACTGGGTTTTTTGACAAGAAGACAGAAGTCAAGGAGAGGGAGAAAAATGCCACAGACATGGTAACGTCATTTTATGAGCTGGTGACTGACTTCTATGAGTATGGATATGGAGAATGCTTCCACTTCTTTCCTGTTTATGACAGTCAGTCATTCAAGGAATCACTCATTGAGTATGAGAAGGAACTAGCAAAAGCTCTTAATGTCCAGCCAGGAAGCACACTACTGGTAAAGACCAGTTATAATACTGGCTGTATAATCCCGCTCTCTTTATTGTAGGATATTGGCTGTGGGATTGGAGGCCCAGGCCGTATCATTGCTAGACAGACTGGAACAACAATCACTGGACTTAACATCAGTGACTACCAGATCAAGAGGGCAAAGGCACTCACTGAAAAAGCTGGCCTTCAGACAAAATGTATCTATGAAAAGGTATATTAACAGAACCTGTAGAAGTCTTTTCATTAAGGAATTCTCTCTATTGTACAATTACATAGTTCATTGTCTTGATTAGATTCTTACACTATATAATGTGATTAGTATATGTATACATGTTATTGTGAATGAGTACAGCAGTAGAAGGAATTAATGTGTCAAACGGTAGATTTTTGGCTAATTAAGCTTGAATGGGTAAACCGCATAATTAAAAATGACTATGATTTCATGGTCATATTGTTATAATCTTTTTTTACAAATTGCAGTCAGTGAATCATAATTTTGGCTATTTGCAATTGTTTGTGTGTAGGGAGACTTCTGCAAAATGACCCAGTTCCAAGACAACTCCTTTGATGGTTGCTATGCTATTGAGGCTACCTGTCACTCCCAGGACCCACTGCTGGTCTACAAAGAAGTGGCACGTGTTTTAAAGCCTGGAGCTGTCTTTGTTGACAGTGCTTGGGTCATGACTGATAAATATAAACCAGGAGATCCAGTACATGAAAAGATAAAACATGAAATATTAGTAAGTAGCAGTGTACCTGAAGAGTGTGGTATAATGGACTCTTTTAGATTGGGAACGGACTCCCTGACTTGAGAACTGAACAAGTGTTGCTTGATAAAATGAGAGAGGCTGGACTGGAAATTGTGGAGTCAGTTGATTATTCTTTGCAGGGAGACCTCCCATGGTTAGTGCTCATGCAGATGATAGTATGATATTAGCTATTTCTTGTACTCTATAGGTATACTTATCTAGTTGGGAAAAGCTGCTTTTCTATGCAGAGTTTCAGGATCTCCTGGTTAGGTAGGATGATGACCCATTATCTTGTCTCTGGTCTTGAAATGGCACGCCTTGTTCCCTTTGGGGCCAGTAAGACTCACTCAGTTCTACTGACAGCTGCTGATGGGCTAGTTGCCTCAGGGAAACTCAAGATATTCACACCAATGCTACGTATTGTTGCAAGAAAGCCACTGAAATGATTGAAGCATTAAATATATCACACAAAACACAAACGCACATTAATTTATTCCAGACTGTAGAGCACCAGTGTTATCGCACATGCACCTATTTTCATTGCACATTGCTAATAATAATTATTATTAAATAAATTTTTATCTTTATTTTGAATTTTTTGACCTATACATCAGTGTGAATCATGAGTTACTAACGTATGTTGGTGACAACTGGCGAGGTTGCTGGTAATATTCAATATCGTCAACTTTATTGTTTAGCTGTAGCATGAATTTTGTTAATTGTTCATTGTAAATTTAATTTTGAAAAATATCACAACTGGAAGCAACATTCATAATAGTGGAGTATCAAGAGTTCAAGCACCTTCCTATTATTCATAATCTATAGACTATCTATTTTATTCATAGGTGGGCGTCAGTCAGACTCAGTAGTTTGGCAACACAACAACATGGAGGCACCTCAAGGTTTATCTCCTGATACACTGGTTGGTTGGTGCAGCACTCAAGTATTGCTTCGATTCCTCGGTCTTGCCATTTTTAGGTATTATTCTTGAAGGATAGGACATTTGTAGAATACCTCAATTCTTTCTTGTTGCTACCAGTAAGTTAAACCTGGACCTGACTAATGAACTGCAGTATTTTCCAATTTCCATGTTATTTCCTGCAGTTATTCTCCACTCAAGTCTTTTATGATACAACGAGTGGTTCGTTTCAACTCGTCTCAACACCTCTACCTCACTATAATGATGAGTCAAGCGCCTCCACCACTACACTCTACATCACAGAAGATGACATCAGTGGATTGGTGAGCTACTTCATATCAGTTGTTTGATGTGTCTCCTCTCCTCCTACTCTAGTTCCTTGACTCTCACTCCATTATTCAGTGGATAATAGAAGAAAGACTTCCATTGTTCATTAACAGTGATATATACAGTGAATATCTTCTTTGTCATTCCTTGAAATCTTCTTCAAGGCGTGTTCTTGGTAAGCTATCCCAAGATGAAAGAAGTACTCCATTTCTTGCTGGACGAGATCGAAAGAAATCATCAAGACAAAGATCATCACGGACCCGCTCTGGGGGTCAGCGCTCAATTAAATCCTCGAGGAGAAGAAACGAGTTTGAGAACCCTGGCAAGGCAGAAATGAAGCAGTTTAAGATGTTCTTGAAAGACAAAAGTGGATTAAAAAACTGGCTCTTCTGTATTGACTTTTTGCAATTGATGAACACAACTGGTGAAAAGGACAAGAACAAGTAATGGACAGGCATAAGTACATGCATTAGATAATGGTATGATATTTTCAATAGGTTGTTTAAAGAAATTAGAGAAAGATATTTCACAATTACTTCTTCACTAGCTCTATCAAATGAACCAGTCTCTGTCTGTGTCTCTGGTAGTCTAACACTAAACTCATTACGACATGTTTATGATACCCTATTGGAAGGACTCATAAACTACTGGTTAGTCTAATAATAGCTGTTAGTGAAATCCTTTCATTGTACACTTTAAAGTACATCATTATTTGTAGGTATCCCAGGTTTTTGTTAAGTATTGTCCCATTCACGTCATCAGGAGGTACAATCTCTCATTCTCTATCACTTCCTTCTGTCACTCTTTATGATGATAAAGCACCTCATCCCTCGGATGTGACCACACCCACTATAAGGCTTGTCTCTAAACCCAGGCCTCAACTCTCACGTCCCAGTACTCAACCGACTCAAAGTATCCAACCCAGTCATAGGACCCAATCAAGACTAGTCTGGACCAGTGGCAGCCAGAGCTCCATTGAGCCTAAGTGCATTAAACTAGCAAAGTTTAACAAGTACCCGATAGTGCCCAGCGGTAGGACTAGCATTACTGTTAGTTATTCAGTAGTTATTGTTGAGGTTGTTAACCATTATTAGGGGACGCCAGTATTACCACACACTCTCAGCACTAATGAGCTCCAAGTGTTGTCAATAAATGGAACACCAATAGCACTGGATGAGAGACTACCTTATTACAAGTACATGTACTGTATAATTCATGAGAATCTTTAACTATTTGTATCTTTGGCTCTCTTCTATTCCATTTCTGGTGCAGTGACAATCATAAATTATTCATGAAGTGTTTGGCTGTTGAAAGGAGAAAATGTGGAGGATATTTTCAAAACTTTCTGCAATCTCTTGAGCAAAAAGTAAAGTTCATGACTTACGGTATTTTCTGATACATATACTTGTGCTTAAGTTTGAGCTGATTCTGATCAAAATTGATTTTTTTACGAATTTTTTAAGTTTCTCCAATATCAGACAAAAGTTTACATCAAAACTGGCCAATATTGTATGTGGTGGCTGTTGTTTTTTGTAGGTTTATCTTAATTGTCTTCACTTTTGGAGGGAGACCCAAAGCTACAAGATGCTGTTCTTTGCTTCAGATTTTAACCCAATCCTCGTGGAGACTAAAGCTAAGGTTATATCAATGATACACTAACCTCCTGTTCATGTACATATATATATACCACAAGCACTTTACAAACATGAAACTTATTTCAAAGATAGACAAAATGGACACTGTTTAAATAATATTTTTATTTCATTAACTGCAGCTGATATACTCTTTTCATATCCTGGAGTATAGCCAGGCTAATATTGATTGTCCTTGTTATATTATTGAGTACATATCAGGAAGACTCTGGCCGCCATTTGAAGACATATTTGACAAAGCAGAGGAACATGCTCTGAACATACTTGAAGAGAAATGGATCGAACTATGTCAAAGGGACAGAGAAACCTTTGAACAGGTGAAAGACTCTCACTATGATACTGTGTAGTTATAATGAGAGGCTATATTTACTGTGTTATATCTCTCATTAGATGCAATCCGTTAATTCTGATTTGAGTCTTCATCATGTTTCTGCTCTTAACAATAAAGAACTGGATAAACTCAGTGAAGAGGTACCTATACAACTGCTCATTAATGTGTTCCTATTATGACCACTGTAGTATTCATCACTGGGTAGCTCTAGCACTGAGAGTATGGGTAGTGTCTCTATCATATCTTCATCTCCTCAACCAGTAACAGTATCACCAGCTGCAGCAACAGTACGAGTGGATCCATCAGCTAATGATAGAGTTGCTCCTTCTGCTAATATTAAACGAGTCAGTATCCATCATAAATCCCTCGGTGAGGATGAAGAGCGTTCTTCTGGAAGAGAGGCTAATTTTAACGATGTTATTAAGAACCCAAAAGAACTTGAGTTCTTCAAAGTAAATCATGATATAGTGATGGAGTATTATTTTGAATGTTTGGTTCTCTTTAAAGATATTCCTCAACGACAATGGAGGTGCCATTGATTTAAAGTTCTGGCTTGAGATTGAGTCATTTCGCTCGCTGCCGACCAGTGACATGGTCCTAAAGAATATGAAAGCTAAAAAGATTAGAAGTGATTATTTCAATAAATCATATCTCTTTGGGGACAGTAGCCCATTCAGCAAGGAGACACAGAGAGAGGTAGTTTAATAAAGTGTTTTAATGTTGATCGATATAATCATGTAATCAATCTCTATCCTTGTTCCTTTCTCTACATGTGCTGTAGGTTGTTTCATTTGGAGGGAGCCATAAGCTCCCCTTAAGACCAAAGTCACCAGTTTTCAGAGAAGCACAGAAACACATTCGCAGCAGACTTGAGAAGAAATGGATACCATTGTTTACGAGGAGCCCGGACTATCTTGAAAGACACGGAGTGAAGGACCCTAGCAATGAGACCAAGGAAGAAGTGATTGATGTAAGAGTAATCAAACAATATACTAACAATATACTAACAATATACACTAGTTGTATCGTTAATCAGTTTCAGTATAACTATGATTAATTATAATTATTAAAGTGTTTGTAAATCAATTTATGTAACTAGCTCTAGTCTCATAATTATCATTTTAGTCTTCTAAAGTTTATACTGAGTCTGAAGACACTTTGAAACTGAAGCAGACATTGTATGATTCCAAGAGACGTGAGCTCTTTAAGACATTTCTGTGCATTAAAGCACCAAAGGGGACAAACACTTCAAATAATGTTGACTTCTGGCTGGAGATACAGAGATTTAAAGTAATCATAGTCTATGTTTGTCAACTTGCATCAATTAATAATAATAATAATGTTTTAGTGACGGAATGTTTTGTTTTTTTATTTCTAGGAAATGTTTCATTATCAGATGAATCATTCTCTCTTATTTGCTAAAATGAGGGCAATATTAAATTGTTACATACAGTCACCTTGCAATCCAAAGCTACAGGTAACTGCAACAATGTCTGTAAGCAATATTTGTTACAACTTTAAAAATTTATAAAAAATTTAATTTTGATCGGAATCAACTCAAACTTTCTACACAACATAATTACATGTATTTTGTTTCATGTTTTTAATGTCTCCACAGGTAACTCTTCCTCTATCAGTTGCTGATGAATTAGTAAGTAAGCCTTTTGGTCCTTACATGTTCAGGGAAGCACAGGTGCTTATTAATACAATTTTGTGTCTTAAATTGTTCAAAATCTTTTCTACTTAGAACTGCATATTCCGTTACCTTCAAACAGCTTGGGAAGACTATCAGTCGTTTTGTGAGTCTCATCCAAACAGACCATTAGCAGAAGCACTCGTGGAGTTAAGAGATTTCATTGCAAATGAGAGACAAGAAGCAGAAGAGAGAATAAAAATGAAGGAGCTATTGTCTGCTACTCAGTCACCTCTCGCTCACCTTGAAACTGAGGAAGAAAGAAAAGCAAGGAAAGCAAAAGAGAAAGAATTGAGAGAGTTTGGTGAAATTGGTGTTTCGTTTAAACTGTCTTCACCACAACCAACCTACACCTACTGTGGACAGATATCATCTCTCCAGCATAAGCTCCATCCTGAACTAGGAGGCCCCTCTCATTCTTCTGTTCATGTACTTGATTCATCACTAAATATCAAATTTACTGATGTGCCTCGGGTTAGATTTCATGAGCCTATACAGGACAATCTGGTTAAGGAAACTGGTTTAGCAAGAAGACGGCAACGTTCCCAGTCAGTACCCAGTAGGTCGTCACTAGCTAAAGGATTTCGACTGAGAAGAAACACCACCACCACAGCTGCTGCTGGCATTCCTCTGATTGGAAGTGACAAACAAGAAATGGTGCCTATAATATTATAACAAGATATTTTAAAATGTAATTTTATTAATCCATTGTGTAACAGAAAATGCAAACAAAACATGCATTCTTGTAGGTGTGGCCTTGAGTAGGTGTGGCTGCTCCTATTAAATAGCTGCTCTCAATGGCTGAAAGAGCATTCGCCTTTTGGCTGGAGAAAGAGAGAGAAATGTCTTCTAATCCTCCAGAGGACAGAAACAGAGTAGCTGCTGGCAGAGTTAGTGGTACAGGAGACAAGAACAATACTTTCCCGCGCAGAGAGTCTAGCGGAGAAGAAGCCAGAGGTCTATCAAACTCCCTGACAAAGAGCAGTGCTAGCATAAACACAATACAGTCTGACATTGACCCCAGCGAACTGTTCAGACCTACTAGACCTCCTATAAGAGCAACCCGACCACAGAGCTGTGCTCCTAGCTATACTCGCACAGCTAAGAGTCTTCCATCACTTCAAACATCAACAACACCTCATGGTCCTGCTCCTGGAGGAGAGGACAGTAGTAGTAAGACTAGTAGGACTTCACCTGCTCACGAAACAATCAAAGAAGATGAAGAATGTCCTCCATCATCAGCTCCATCTGCCCAGTCTTCCAAAAGATGGTGGAACAGACCCTCTCATCCTCCTACTACCGGCAGGCACCATTCAGTATCACCTTCTTCTTATTCTTTTGTGAGCTACATCGATGGACCAATCAGATCATCCACACAGACGCAGGTATTAAGGCATTGTTGCCATGACGATGATTAATTAATTGTTTATTAGTTTAATAGAACCTCAAGACCAAGCCTTGATGGAATCGGAGAGGTATGTCTATAAAATGATGAAACCATTTTTATTGGATCACTTATTGTATTGAATGGCTAGTAATGTAGGAAGGAGAATTTAGTGAATTATATGCCAATTACCATTGATCATCCCCGTATGATTCAGAATGCGGTTTTTATTGCCAAATTTGCCAAAAATCCCCTTGTCCCTACAATATTACCAGCTGTATAGTGTGTTCTTTATATTCCTTATACTCTAAGGATCCTTCTCCTGGTCCCATATCCCGTTCCAGTCCTGTTGTTACTCGTCCTACGAGAGCAAGAGCTCACTCTAACTCTCGGACCCGTAACGTCCTACGCCCCCGCACTAAATTAACTACTCCTTCGGAAGATGAACTGAAAGACTTTTGGAACATGGTGCTAAGGTACACTGACCACGCCTCTATCCATACCCACTTTAAACTGCACCCTCTAGAGCTATGGAGACTGTCACTAATAAGCAAATATACTTGAAGAGTCCAACCATATCACGTTATCAGCCTCAAGCCACACCTCCAATAGCCACACCCTCTCCTCCAGGTCATAGACGGGTAGGCCATCAGTCGGTGAGAGGGGGTGTGGCTACTCCGCCCCATATTGCACTAGCAGTTGAGACTGGATTGATAATGAAAGGAGGTGACACTGCACTTGTCATTCACTGCAAAGGTACGCCCTTATTTGTACATGTACATGTACCCGTAATACAGACTAGCCTTGCTATAATGGACACTGTGTCTCTGTTATACAGAGGTGTCCTTTATGTGGAGGTTATTCTATACAGTAAGGAATGTAATTGGTACACTAGGTGCTGTCCGTTAAATGGAGGTGTACGCTATAGAGAGTGTCCATTAAGAGAGACTATATTGTAATAGTTTTTATTTTTAAATTATTATGTTTACTTAAAGTGACTCTTAATTGTCAATTGTTGTTGTATTGTTGTTTATTGTTGTTTATTGTTGTTTATTGTTGTTTATTGTTGTTGATAGCTACTGGTACAGTACAAGACGCTATTAAAGAGATCCTTGGCATGACCACTCATAGTTCTGCCCCTTCTTTATATTCCGTCTCAAATTCCTCAAACTTTTTATTAAAAGTGTGTGGGCGGGATGAGTACATGGAAGGGTAAGCCACACCTCTTTTAATTAACCATTGACCACTCCCCCCACAGCGACAGGTGTCTATTGGACTATGAGTTCGTCCACCATTGTATGAAACTAGCAGTACATGCTCATGTTGTCATTGTTGAGAGAAGCCTAGTCAAACAAATACAGTCGCATATGGTATGATTAATTCAATTTCATCTCCATTATTATTATTATTATTATTATTAATATCGTTATTACAGAAACCCAGTGAGTTAGACATTATATCTACAGTACCGTACCAAGGCTTGTCTCAAGATGACTTAACCTCACTGTTCGATAGTTACGTCACTAAAGATGAAGAGTTTCGCTCATTAATGAAGACTCCGCCCCTTAATTATATCAAACAGTATCAGCATGTCACTGCTTGTGTGAAGCTCCTTTGTGAGAGGGCGGGGTTTATTGAGCCTCACTGTCTCTCTGAGGCAATCTTTAACCTCAAGAGAGCCTGCCAGGTGGCAATGGGCCGAGACTCTTTCTCTACTACCATTGCTCTTGATGTAAGTATAAAATTGTTATTATTATTATTATTATTATTATTATTATTATTATTATTATTATTATTATTATTATTATTATTATTATTATTCATTGATTATTATTAGATGGAGCTGGTGGAAGATGGGTGGAGTCGTATTAATACGTCAGATTTAAAGAAGCAGCAAAAGGACACGGTACAAGATATCACTCAATCCCTTGACCTCCTGCTAGCGGCCGTTAGAACTACTGTGGAGACATACTGTGTTACCATGGAAACACCTTTTGAACCTGTGTGGATTGAAGATGGTTCTAGTGTTGGGGACGTGTCAGGGGGTGTGGCCAGAGCAGGTGTGGTTGATTCTGAATTGAAGTTACGAGTCAAAGTTTGTGCACTTCACAGAATACCAGCACAGGAACTCTGCCAGTAATTATTTATTTGTTTTATTTTTCTTATCCGTTTCCTTTTTGGCTTAGTTTTCTTATTTTTGTTTTTATATTTTATCAATTGTTTATTGTTTTTTGTTTATTTATGTTGCTTTCCATTCCCATATTAGGTATCATATTTTCCAGCTGGAAATGTGTGTCTATTACGGTGGCAAGCCTTTGTGTAAAAAGGTTTTTGCTCCAAAATCAAAAATATCCCGCGGGTTCTTCCCTTTTATAACCTGGGACAAATGGTAAGTTTAATTAATAATAATAATAATAATAATAATAATAATAATAATAAATTAGGTTAAATACTTATATTCAACTTGATCAATTGCCCCTTGAGTCCAGGATGTGTTTCACCCTTTATGGGCTCCTCCCTCCTCCAAGCAATAAAGACTATCGACACATCAAGGAGCCTCTAGCCTGGGTATCAACAAGACTGTTCACGTCCAGAGGGTAAGTGAGTGGTCAGGAGGTGTGGTCTTAGCTCTACCCCATACAGTCGGCTGGTGAGTGGTATTAAGATGTTAGGAATGTGGCGAGATGATTCTCCAGCTGATCCTTTGAACACAGTCACTAACGACATTAAAAACAGGAAGAGCATTGCTTTAGAGGTACTGCTACATACAGTACATTGTGCTTATTGTATTAATTGTGTTGTGTTTTTTAGATTTATTTTGAAAATTATAATCACACTTATGTATCACCAAGAAACACCTCCTCATCAGGGTAATATAATGCATTAATTAATGATATTAATTGATTTATCAATTAGGTCCTTGAGGCCAGTGAGACCATTCCCCGTTAAAGCCATTGCTGATAATTTAAATGATCTTGTCTTGAAAGATCGATTTGAAGAGTAGGTTGAAATATATTAATAATGTACCTCCTGCCCCTCCCACTCATTAGGTTATCGGAAGATGATAAGAAGTGGGTGTGGGCCCATCGCTCATCATGTCCTTCTGTCCTTTGTTCCCATGCCCGTGGTCTCCCTCTTCTGCTGTCAGTGGTGCCATCATGGCACTCCAGCAACCTCTCAACAGTCTATCAGCTACTGGCCCAATGGTCCAATGACATTCACCCAACGTACGGTCTGGAGCTATTGGATTCTCAGTATCCCGACTCTGTTGTGAGGAAAAAGGCAACTGATATTGTTAGCCAGTTATCAGAAGATGATTTCATTGATTTGTTACCACAGCTGGTTCAAGTATGCCATATTTAATTTATTTATTTATTTTCTTTTTTTAGTCTTTAAAATATGATAATTTTCTTGTGTCTCCGATGATAAACCTTTTCATATCAAAAGTCACCACCTCTCCAAGGATCGCTCATTTTCTCTACTGGTAAGCCACACCCAGGCCAGACCCCTAGCCAACCCACCAATCCCTTTAGGACTCTCCTCCCACTAAAAGATGATCAGTATTTTGGTGGTCTGTACACACTACTACTGGCAGCTGTTCAGACTGCCTGTGGAGAAGAGATGGGAATGGAACTCTCCAATCAACTGGACATGATCCATGGGCTCAACGATGTAGCAATGACCGTTAAATCATCAAAAGATCACCAGAGGCAAACCTCACTGGTCACTGGAATACAGCACCTGGCGGGAACCCTACCACCTGTCATCAGACTCCCCCTCAACCCAGCACTGCAGTGCTGTGACATCGACATTGAGGTATAGGTATCTGTTTGTTTATTTATTTATTTATTTATTTATTCTAGAGTTGTTCCTTTTTTAATTCTAAGACTCTTCCACTGAAAATTGCATTCAAGAATGCCGACCCATTTGGGAATAACATAGACATTATTTATAAAGTACAAATACAGGCATGGTCATTATTACCGTTATTCCTTGCCCCGTAGGCTGGTGATGACTTGCGTCAGGATATGTTGGCCCTTCAGTTGATCCGGTTGATGGATAAGATATGGCTAAGGGCTGGCCTGGACCTGCGTCTCATTACATACCGTGTGCTGTCAACTGGTCGGGACCAAGGGCTAGTGGAGATGGTAACGGAGAGTGCTACTTTAAGACAGATACAGACGGAGCATGGACTGACAGGATCCTTTAAAGATAAACCTTTATCTGAATGGCTCATGAGGTACAACTCATCTGACCTGGCATGGAAACAGGTACCCCAGTTCCTAGTGATATTATCTTCATTGATTCATGTGCTTCATGCTGCAGGCAACTGAGAACTTCACTCATTCCTGTGCTGGCTATTGTGTGGCTACTTATGTACTAGGTATGGTACATGTACATGTATTACTATTATCTATTGTTATTTTTAAAGGTATTTGTGATCGCCACAATGATAATATAATGGTTAAGAAGACAGGCCACATGTTTCATATTGATTTTGGTCGTATCCTTGGTAACGCTCAGATGTTTGGGTCCATTAAGAGAGACAGAGTACCATTTGTCCTCACTCCTGATATGGCTTATGTCATCAATGCTGGAGATAAACCATCCATTAGGTTTCAAAAGTTCACTGATCTTTGCTGCTCGGCTTTTAACGAACTAAGGAAGCACTCACACCTTTTCCTTAGTCTCCTCTCATTGGTAATCCACACCCACTGGTTATTAATGGTTATTAATAGTTATTAATAGTTGTTATCTTCAAATATTCCTGAGTTGTCATCAGTGGATGATATTATGTATGTGAGAGATGCTCTCCTTCCTAATGTAACTGATGAGGAAGCCACTTATCAATTTACAAAGTATAATTATTAATAGTTATTAATGGTTATTGGTAGTTATTGGTAGTTATTAATAGTTATTAACTTCCTTATTAGGAATATAGAAGCTAGTTTGGGAACTATTGCTACTCAGATCAATTTCTTCATTCATAATTTAGCTCAATTTAAATTCTCCACTCCAGCTCCTAGTCATAGCTTACTCTCATTCTGTCCTTCATCATATTCGTAAGTACATGTACATGTACATGTATTTGGACATTGTATTGGTACATTATATTGTTGTTGTTGTTAGGATGGTCACTGATGGAAAGATACAGATGGCAGTTGTAGTTGCTTATTATAAGAAATTCTATCCAGAAAGATATATTGTAAATAATAATAATAATAATAATAATAATAATAATAATAATAATAATAATAATGATAATAATGTATTATTGTGTATTTCTAGTCTTATCAGATCCAGGTCACAAGACGTGATTCTGCTAAACAAGTCGACCTAATCTTCAGGAGGTACAGTGAGTTTCATGAGCTTCAGACAAAACTAGTCGAGTGTTTTCCAAATGAAACAAACCTGCCACACCTACCAAAAAAGACCTACCTACCTGGGACCTCCTATACCAGAGAAGTAAACACTCTAAATAATAATAATAATAATAATAATAATAATAATAATAATAATAATAATAATAATAATAATAATAATAATAATAATAATAATAATAATAATAATAATAATAATAATAATAATAATAATAATAACAATAATGAGAAATTTGTTGTTGTTTAGACGTCAGAGAAGCGTCGTGATGCTCTCAATGTGTACCTCCAGTCGCTACTGACGATGAGTCCAATTGTGTCTGAGTCAGATATAGTCTACACCTTCCTTCACTGCTTGATGAGGGATGAGCAGGATCTGAGGACAATGAAAGAAGGTAATGACATCATCCACCACTTTCTGATGCATATACATGTACTTATGTTGTGTAGAAAGTTTGAGCTGATTCCAACCAAGTTTGGATTTTTTACGAATTTTTAAAGTTGCTCCAAAATCGGGCCAAAGTCCCTGTACTATAGTACATGGTCTCGGGCCAAATTTTGCCAAAAATGAAAAGGAGAGAATTCTTCATTTTTATAACTTTATCTGATGCATATACATGTACTTATGTTGTATAGAAAGTTTGAGCTGATCCCGATCAAGTTTGGATATTTTATGAATTTTTAAAGTTGCTCCAAAATTTTGCCAAAAATGAAAAGGAGAGAACTCTCCATTTTTATTGTACATGTACATGTACTTACATTAAAAGTGTTCATTTCTTCCAGAGGAGCAAACAGCTGCTGATACTGTGAGTGGTAAGGTTAAGTTGGACCTTCATTATCGCGAGGACCAGCAGAAGCTGTCAATAATGGTCCAACATGCGAGGGAACTGGTGCCCAGGGAGGGGGCGGAGTCAATTGATCCTTACGTAAAGCTCTACCTGTTACCTGATCCAACTAAAGCCACGAAACTAAAAACTAAAATAGCTAGGAAGACACTCAACCCAACTTATAATGAGACAGTAAGTGTTAATGTGTCTTAACAATAGAGTCCAGTGGTTCTTTAGTTTCAGTACAGTCTCTCTCAAACTGACTTGAGGTCCAGGTGCCTCCAGCTGACAGTGTGGGACGCCAGCAGCTTATTGAGTAAGGAGTGCATTGGCTGTGTACTGATAGAGTTTAAGGAGAAATACAGAGACTTAGCCAAAGGATGGACCTCGTGGTTTGATCTACAACCTACCTCCCTCGTTAATAGATCTTGAACTTTATTATTATTATTATTATTATTATTATTATTATTATTATTATTATTATTATTATTATATTATAATTAATAGATGAGTGCTTTATTACCCAATCACTTAGATATAAATATATTGTTTATGTTGTTTATGTTGTTAAAATTAAAAATCTAAAGTAAACTTTATTAAAGTAAACTAGTAAAGTATCCGGAAGTATACTGAAACCACGTGATCTAGCCCCACCCACAATCCATTATCAATCATTGATTGCAGCAGTACAGTATGTCCTCCAATAAAGTATATTTTTACAGAAACTGGGTATATATTACTTTCCTGGAGTTAGTTGTTTATTTCCTTTCTTTAGATTGGTTTCTTCATACTTGGTACTATCAATAATCTTCCCTATGTAGTCGTTAATTCATCTGCTAAGGTCCTCTCCACCAGGTATGTGTATGTTTATTTTGTCAGACATTTTAACAGCAACTTTGCTCTTTAGTTTTGGGCAGGCTAACCTTGTCACTTTGGTTATGTTTTCAAATGTTGCTCTTGGATTTGTTGCTAAAGGTAATTAATTCCTAAGTTTGCTTTAAAATTGGCCAAAGGTCATGCAAGTAGTACATAATAATGAACAAGTATTTAGGTTTAGTCATTGGGCGTCATGTATAGTTTTATCATTTCTATAATCATCATTATTGAGTCTCCACCCACTTCAGGTGCCAATACTCTTATATCAACGACCAGTTTCCCGTTTTGGATTCGGTTTATATTCAACGGATGCTTAATGGCAGCTGGTAAAATATTTAAAATCTACCGTATATTATTATTATTATTATTATTATTATTATTATTATTATTATTATTATTATTATTATTGTTATTATTATTGTTATTATTATTATTATTATTTCTATTATATATTATTCAAAGTTATGAATAACTGGTCTTAAACCAGTCTTACTTGTTTCATTAACAGGTCTTACTGGTGTTATCTTAGCTCCTAATTTTTGGATTGCTCTGGCCTCCATAGTCCTAACTGGAATGAGTTCTTCTTTTGGGGAAAAGTGAGTCAACCAGCACCTGCTCATGACCTGTCCCTCCTTTAGTTTGACATTAGGGTTTTTGAGTAAGTTCAGTAAAGAACACATTAATGCCTGGTCTAGTGGTACTGGAATGGCTGGAGTAGTCGGAGCTGTTCTCTACATAGCGCTATGTAAGGGGTGTGGCTTCAAAGGGGGTGTGGTTTATCATTTATTTCACAGCTTGCATAGCGGAGGTGACAGTGGTCAGTGGTAACCATGGTAACACTGTTATTGATCCTGATTCGACTGACTATGCAAGCAAATTGAAAAAGATAAACAGGTAAACAACAACATACTAATAATTAATTAATTAATGAATATTAATTAATTAATGAATTAGGTTTGTATTTATTGGGACTCTGCCTATCATTGTATTATACTGGGGAGCTTATTTTATTCTAATTAAAGCCCCACCAGCTGTGAAAGAATCAAATAACGAAGAAACCCAGCCTCTTCAAAGTATGCCCCCAGTCCTTACCTTCACTAGATTCATTTCTTTTCTCTCAGTTCAAGATAAAGTCAGTAATAATGACCCTGGAGTGGTAGCAGCTGCTTCAGGTGAAGGTTCTTTCAAAAGAATATTAAGATGTTTAAAGCTGTCTTCATGGCTAATTTTTAATGTAAGAAGTTTTATCTTTATTAATCTGATGGTTATTGCTTCTCAATCATTAGATGATTTTCGTATATTTTTTTGAATACACTTGTAGAGGCTTTGCCGCCAAAAGTAGACCAGAGGTACAGTATGTCTCTTCATTTATTTATTTTATTTTTATTAATAGGAAGAATTCTCTATCAGTGAATTACAATGTCCTGAACTTTATGCATCGCTTCAACTTTGTTATCAAGTAATTGATTGGAGCCCATACATCTATCCACTGACACTGTGTCCTTATTCATTATTATTATTATTATTATTATTATTATTATTATTATTATTATTATTATTATTATTATTATTATTATGTAGGCTGGTGTCTTTGTCTCAAGATCATCAGTTCAATTATTTCAAATTAGACAAATTCACATTTTCACTTTATTTCAATTAATTAATATGATTGTATGGATACTGCAAGCATGGGTGAGTGGGTGTGGCAATCAATTAATTATTTATTTATTTATGTATTATTATTTAGTGGAAGTTTCTCCCAGTCTATGTACTGCCGTCTTACATGGTTTTCGTTGGATTATTAGGAGGTAATAGAGAAACTATAAAATTATTTGTTGGAATCAGCTCAAACTTTCTACACAGCATAGGGGCATCAATATGTATCAGAAAATGTAATAAAAATTTGGGGTGATTTCGGAGCCATTTTTTGGAAAAAACCATGGGCTATAGTACAGGGATTTTTTCAAAATTTTGACGTTTTCTTAAAATGGCCGTAACTTGAAAAATTGAAGTCGGAATCACCCCAAACTTTCTACACAGCATAAGGGCATCAATATGTATCACAAAATGTAATAAAAATTTGGGGTAGTTTTGGAGCCATTTTTTGGAAAAAACCATGGGCTATAGTACAGGGATTTTTTCAGAATTTTGACGTTTTCTTAAAATGGCCGTAACTTTAAAAATTGAAGTTGGAATCAGCTCAAACTTTCTACACAGCATAAGGGCATCAATATGTATCACAAAATGTAATAAAATTTGGGATGGTTTTGGAGCTAATTTTTTGGAAAAAACCATGGACTATAGTACAGGGGATTTTTCTGAAAAGACCATGGACTATATTTCCTTTTTTGAATTGCTTCTCTCCCTCTCCTCCTCCAGGTGCTTCATATGTTAATATATTCTATTTATTGAGAACAGACGAGAAGTATCCTTCATCAGATAGAGAACTCTGTACTAATTTAGTCGGAATGAGCATCTCAATCGGGATTCTGTTAGGAACTGGCCTACCTATACCTCTGTTTAAAACAATATTTGCTGATAAATAATAATAATAATAAACATTTATGCAATCATGTCTGTAGTTATTTTTATGTCAAGTTTGAATAAGTTTTATATTTTAAATGTTAAATTGACAGGTATATACTGTTACAAATCATTATTATCATATTTATATTACAAATGGACATCATTTCCTCTTTCATTGTTACTATCACTATTATTAATATGTACACATCACTATAGTAATTTGTACAATTCATTGGTAATTCAATTTGACTCTAACAAATTGGAGTAATCGATATTCTAAGAATCAATTAATTTTATTAACATAAGAATTGTAATTAGAGGCAAACCAAACTGTATGTGAATAAATGAATAATCATAATAATAATAATAATAATAATAATAATAATAATAATAATAATAATAATAATAATAATAATAATAATCATGTTATACAAACGTATTAATAATGTTGATAATATCAATGATGTTTGATGATTATTTTAAAATGATTTCATTTCATTTTTAAAGTTTTTTAGTCGTCAAAGTCGCTGAGACACAGTAAGAATACTGTAGTTGCTATGATGAACATCTATAAAGAAGAGACAAGACATACTACCATACACTGCATTGTCGTTGTTACCTCTCCAATAAGAAATACAAAGGCTTCAGTCCCTGATATTAATAATATTCTTCGAGCAATATCTACCAGGACTTCTTGACACCCCTAACAGAAGAGAGAGAGAGAGAGATTAGAAAAATCCCCGGGATGGATAAATATCAAATGTTGTTGTTCATATGATAATCCGTTGCCAAGTGTAGTATGTCCCTATGCACGAGTAACTCATTCACTATTCTACAGCTGCTCAACTCTTTGGATCCACCGCCAGTTTAAAATGCCCCCTCATGTTTTCTAATATATAATCTGCCAATTGCAATTTCCCTACAACTCTTACAACTCATACCAATAGCTCCAGCTGGAGTGTATCTTCGTGCAGTCATAGCAACAATTATTAATCAATTAAATTATCAGTACTAGTACTAGTACTACACTAAACTATACAATAACATCAAAATCCCATTTATGATAATTTTAGTGCATTCATCGTCCTCATACCTGAGTGAATACATTCTGATTCACGCCAGTGATTCTTCCACAGTTATTATTAGTGGTATTAGTACAACATGAAGTCGGGTACAGATCAATCACTGATGAGAAATTAGCGTTAAAAACAACCCAATCATTAACACCATTGACACCACAGCACTGAAACTAATGAAGAAATAAGATATTATAATATAAACTGAACTGTATATTGTTCCTTTAGTTATAACAAACTAATTTAAAAACAAGAAGCACATTTACTGTACGTGTGTACTTGTTGATAGATTGACTGATTATTGGGAACACACAATGAATGGTTTCAATACACTATACACTATACATTACAGAGGTTATCTTACAGTGGACTGTATGTGGTCCCAGGCAGCTCTAGTGTCATTCATTGATATGTTGCCATACTGGTAAAATGTTGTATTTAACTCATCTCTTATTAACCTTTCCGACTATCAATAAATAAATAAATAAATAAATAAATAAGTGAGATCTCACAAGGTCCCTGTAAACTAGTGACAATATTCCACTGGCCAGTTGTCCGACTGCAATAATCGACACTAATATTATGAACTATAAGGAGAGACATTAAAATAAGAACATTACAAATACATTTTAATGTTATACAAGCAATAACAAGACAACAATCACAGTATATCTGTTTAGCATCTGGTAAGAGGCTGAGGGAGGATTGCTTACAAAGGAGAGGAGGAATTTGTTTATCTTCGTTTCACAGCAGGCCCCCACTATACCGATAACAGACACCACTACCAGTGCGCAGCCAGAAGCAATGGCGAGGTACGGCCCGTACTGTAGCTCTTTCAGTGACACCAACTCATCGTATCTGTTACTCTCAACCTCAGCCCAAGATCCAACTATTATCAGCCCTAAACCGAGTAGCTGGGGGAAAGAAAGTTTAGTGTATTTGTATTATAAAATAAAAGGAACTTACTATGACAAATATCTGGACACAGAGAAAGACAATTTTCATGAAACTGCTTGCAGCCATTTTAGACAAAAGCTAGCTAAAAGAATGTCCTCTTTTCTCTCTGTGTCTTTCTCTCTCGCTGTGTTTATTTCTTAAAAGTAGGAAGTAGCTGCATACCACAATACAACTTAGACAAGTTACAAGCCACACCTAACAAGAAGCCACACCTCCTTTAGCCACGCCTTCTAAGGAGCAGCCATGATCATTCCAATAAGGTGCTTCACTTGTGGGAAAGTGATAGGTAATAAATGGGAGAGTTATCTGGGACTGTTACAAGCCGAATATACTGAAGGGTAACCAATTATTTATTTATTTATTTGTTTATTATTTTAATATAGAGATGCACTGGATGCTTTGGGTTTAAAGAGATACTGCTGTCGCCGTATGTTATTATCTCATGTTGACCTAATTGAGAAACTACTCAACTATGCACCATTAGAAAAATAACATCTTTAATTTATTATTATTATTGTTACTGTTAGTATAAATATGAAGCTTTTGTGCAACATAATCAATTACTAAAAATGGAGGACTCTCAATTTCATGAAACTTGGCCAAAGTCCATGCTATTGTACTGGGACTTTCATCTGGTTTCTTGAGTAACTCGTGAAAAACCCAAACATGATTGGAATCAGTTCAAACTTGCTACACAACATAAGTACATGTATATGCATCAGATAAAGTTATAAAAATGAAGAATTCTCTCCTTTTCATTTTTGACAAAATTGGCCCGAGACCATGTACTATATAGTACAGGGACTTTGGCCCGATTTTGGAGCAACTTTAAAAATTCGTGAAAAATCTAAACTTGATCGAAATCAGCTCAAACTTTTTACACAATGTAAGTACACATATATGCATCAGATAAAGTTATAAAAATGAATTTTCTCCTTTTCATTTTTGGCAAAATTTGGCACGAGACCATGTACTATAGTAAAGGGATTTTTGCCTGATTTTTTAGTAATTTTAAAAAATTTAATTTTAATCAAAAACTTTATGCGATAAGTAGGTTATTGTGCATTTGAGCTAAATTTGATGTACTTTTTACAGCAAATAAGGACCAGCATAAAATACTCAACAAAAATATTTTAAAACAAAAATAATAACAAACTTTATTAGTTCATCATAATAGTACTTATGTATTGTTCACTCTTGATTGATTTATCAAACTGTCCAATCATCACTATTCCTTTTACTGAACAAACAGCAACACAGAATGATGCCAAAAACCACACCCAATATCTATTAATAATAATTAATAATTAATAAGTGGTGAGTCTATTTTACTTCACAAAGTCCAAAAGCTAATCCTATTCCACCAATAGCAGCTGCATTGCTCCTTACAAACTCAAAAAAGCTTCCATCACAACCCTGAGAGGGAGAGAGAGGGAGAGAGTAATTCAAATAGTTGATGATGTTTATGTAAGTATCAGAAAATGTGTTTTTGTTGGTGTTATTATAATTTACTTGGCTATACACGCTAGCTCCTTCAACAACAGTGCAGCCTGATGTTCCGTTTGTACATAGACACGAGTCAGGGAATCCACCTGTCTCCATATAATAGCTAGTAGTTAGCCAGTCGCTAGGTTCAAACACTCCACAGCACTCAAACTACATAATATCTTTGTATATATACATCTTCTTTATAAAGGTTTTACTTCTTCTTGGACGGAATTCACAAAGCTAATGGCATCAGTGGTTTCATTAATTTGAAACTCATGAATTGTCCTGTTGAACACTTCAGCATAATAATCTCCCTATGCATTATAAATGAATAACCAGTGTATTAGTGCCATTGGTAACTTACCAGCTGTGTTTGAAATACAAAACCAAGTATTGCCGCCACAATCTCCAGGATCACTACAACACCAAGGACAACACTATACTGTATTGGGAATGATGAAAATAAATAATAATAATAATTTTTAATTAATTAAAAGTGTGAAAATGGCTAATTACTTTACTTACTATGAGTAGCAGTGGCCACCAGAGTCCAATGGCGGCTATTAGTCCTACAATAGCTATTATGAGGGTTACTACGCCACAGACGATGAGAATAGGTGCCCCGGCAGCGTAAGTATTGTTAGTGATGAAGCTGTAAGTGTCTCCTACCACTACAAGGTATATTCCACCGGCTACAAGCCCCAGGCCTATTAGCTGAGAGAGAGAGAAAGGTTAGTTTGTTTATCTTGAGTGTGTTTGAATCTTACCACAAAGAATATGTTGAGGATTAGAAACAGTATCCTTATCCCGTGTCCACAGCAACCAATCTCCTTTTTAGCATTTCCCATGACACCTTTTCCTTTCTTCTTGTTATTACAATAACAAATATTCTAATATAATAATAGATTAAATTCACAATTATATTCCTTTTACCTTTTGTCTTTTCAAGCCCTGTAGACAGGAGCTACAATCAATACTGCCTACTATTGTAATTGTACTATAATAACACTAGCAGGCAACATGTGATCCAGTGTATAGTAATCACTGATTGCACACTTCAAGGTTGCATTCCACTGACCAAATATGGTCAATGGTTAGATAGTTATTGTGTGTGGGTGTAGGTAACTTTTACAATATTATTATTATTATTATTATTATTATTATTATTATTATTATTATTATTTGTGCTATTATTTTAAGGTAAGTCGTTAGTCAATTACTTAAATGCCGATAGCTTCCTAATTTTTATTTAAAACAAAAACAGTTATAATTTTTGTGCTAATTTAAAAATTTACAAAAGCTTTCCCAGCTTGTTTATGTAACCCATGAGTGAGCATATTTCAACAACTTTGTGTAAAACATGGCTACTAGTTAGTTTGCTATCTCTCTGCTGCCCTTTGGAGACTAATAGTTATTAAATTAGCTATATATGCATCAATTATATTCTTAGTAAGACCCTACTACACCTGAAGCCAGTCAAATAATTGTTTACATAACAATCCATTCCAATCCTCTCATATAAGGGCTGCACCAGTTAAACCATAATATGATATTGTGGGTGTTTTGAATTATTTCTTGATAATTATTATTGCATGAATACAAAACATCAGTAGTGACAGGAGATGCACAATCTACTCAGTTTATGTGTTGTTTATTGTTTTTGCAGTTTCTGCTGATCATTCAGAGCGTATGATGATGATTTCTTTGTCTCAATAACTTTACATAAGCAAAAGACAACAGTAAGTCCTAATGTCAGCAGCTGTCACAAATGGAAGGATCAGACCCAGTTACAATTATCATTATTCATTGTATAAGTACCTGTACTATAGTTAGCCCGATTGCAGTCATACCAAGTGACCAGCTCAACCTGTCAATCACATCTTTTATTGCATCACTGCAGCCCTAGAGATGAGACATGTGATGATGTATTCAACATTGTAACATGACATAGTTCATATAACAGGAACTGTACAACATCCTTCAACAGAATCACAATACATGCGACAATAGGCATACCTTCACTAGTCAATACATTCATTATATTGCATCAATAAACTAATCTAGTGCCAGACAGTACACTCCAAATATTGCACATATTAATTAATGAAATGCTTCTTAACTGGTTAATAGACAAACTGACTATGAGGTACCTTTGACCAAACTGTAACTTTATAACGTTCATTAAACGAGCAGATGGAGTTGTCTAATGTACCGTTGCACTTGCAATCATTCGGTAGCTTCTTTGTATTGTTATGATAGCCTCTCCAATCACTTGAGTCCTCATATCCACAGCAATTATACTATTAATTATTATTTATAAATTATTGCTATCATTTTTGTCTTTTACATTTTTTTGAAAGAAATCAACAAATTCCTGGTATTGACTCTCCTCTTCATACTTTTCTATGGCTTCATGCATATGTTCACCAACAGTTGATTTCTAATAAAGAAAATTCCTTATATGGAAATAACTATAAATAGTAACATCAATGCATTCTATGAATAGCAGGCACTCCTTATATGGAATGTGCTATAAATACAATCAGAGTGACTGCTGTGTCATTATTCCTTACAAGTGATGAGTAGGAGGTCATAGTGTAGATTCCAGCAGTTAGTTCTAATAGAATCAGCAAAACCAACACTAGCACATTCTGATTGGGAGAGAGAGAGAGAGAGAGAGAGATGGTACATTCTGCAATGGTTGCATGTGCTTACTGCAAAGATAAGTGGTTTCCATGCAGAAGCAGTTGAAGCTACACCAACGATTGATACACAAGAAAGAAGAGAGCCCATTACTATTATTAGTATGACTCCAGTCCTCATGTCACTGGTTATGTATGTAAAGTCATTGCTTGAAGTGATTAGCAATGTGCCAATAGTTAGAATAGTAGCACCAATTGCCTGCACAAGTGATCATTGCAATAATATTGACACCTTCAAAGCCTTGTAACATTAGAACAGTATTCATGAGCTGTTCAAATAGCAACTCAAATGATGCAGCAAAACAAGCTGTTAATGCCATTATGTATCACCTTTCACCAAGCAACCTTTCCCTCTCTCTCTCTCCTTCTAAACTTACAAAGAAGAGTATGTTGATGCAACATAAGAATAGTCTAAGGACTCCAGAGCAACACGAGCATAACATGATGAGATGATTCACTTCTGTCAATGTTTCTTTGAGCTAATGCATGTATATTTATATCCACTGCTTTATCTTAAAACAACAAAAGGCCTCATAGTCAAATAAAAAAGATCCAAAATTAAAAATAAAGGAAAATCATTTATCATTGTTCAAAAGGAGTAGATATAGTTTATTAAAGTTTGGTTAGAGTTAGACGTATTCTTCTTTGCCTGCTGATGTTATACAGCAACAGAGACCAAGGGCAATGAACACTCCAATGATCTAGTGAAAGAAGCAATTAAATTGAATTAATGAGAGGTTAAACTTACCTCAAAAAGACCAAAGGCCATACCAACAGCACCAAAGACAGCAGCAGTGTAGACCACAGTATCAATCGTAGCTTCATAACATCCCTATAGGAGGGACAGGTTGTTAACAAGAGGAGGACAATATGAACATACTTGAGTCCAAGCTGTCCCATTGAATGTCATGGTCACTGTATTGTTGTATGTGTAGGTGAAGGAGACCATCCCACAGTTGTCATCATCATTAATGTCACAGTCACATGAACTAGGGAGCCTTCCTGTATTTTCAAATATAAAGTCACCATTGAGTGTCCCCCAGTCACTTGGACCAAATGTACCGCAGCATTCCAACTAGAGTATAAACAAAATAATAATAATAATAATAATAACAATTGTTGTTATTATTATTATTAATTGAAACAGAAAGCTCACTGTATTTTGGAGCGTGTCCATAGCATTGTTTAGATTCTCATCATAATCAGGTTCATCTTGATTCCGGCGATAGTCCCTGATAGTATTGTTGAGTCTTGTCTGATACTCATCCCCAGAACTCTCGCGTAAAGTATCACGAAAGACAAACCCAATGATACCAGTAATGACCTCAATGAGGATAATGAGGACGAGGATGATAGCAAACTGAATTCATGCAATAAAATAAACAGTTTACAATAACAATGAGCTCTTACTATAACCAGCAATGGCCGCCACTTCATGCAGGCTCCCACAAACCCGAGGCCAGCTATGATCCCAGTTATGAGACCAGCCACTATGAGTAGAACAGCGCCGCTGACCACATCACTTCCCGTGAAGAAAGAATAGGTCTGTGTGGTGACCTGTAGATATATCCCCAGGGCGAATATAGCTATGCCAATGAGCTAAGTTGATAAAGAAGTGTTAATGAGGAGTTTTGGAGGCTAACTTACCAAAAAGATAAAGTTAAAGATCAAGAACAGAATCCTAAAGAGCTTTCCACAAGAAGACAACTCGGCCATTTCTACTGAGCTGGTTTAATGACTCAAAGAATGCAAACAATGTTTATAATTAAGGCCTCCCACACACTAACTGTGTGATACAAAACAGAAAATAAAAGAAAAAGACTAAAATGAAACATTTAAAAGTTAGCAGCAAATTAAGTTCTACTACTAATAGATAAGAGTAATCTACGAGGTATGTCTTCCTTTTTAAACTATTTCTTTCTTCCTTGCGCTAGTAATGCAGCATATTAGACCAATGGCAACAAAGACACCAAACGTCTGAAAGAGAGAGAGAGAGAGAGAGAGAGAGAGAGAGAGAGAGAGAGAGAGAGAGAGAGAGAGAGAGAGAGGAGAAGAAAAGGAGCGAGAGGTAAATTGTCACACACAAAAGGACATGCACTTGGCACTTACCTCAATAATAGCGAATATAATAGCAACTACTCCAGAGATGAAAGAGTAAGCTTGGAAGAAATCAACTGTAACTTGATAGCAGCCCTAGAGACAATCAATCAAATAATTTACAATGAAGCAACTAACCCTGTTATAAGCAGTCTGGGGGTAGTCTACACCTTGGAACTGAATGTTGAAGCTCTGGCAGTTCTCCCCAGTACTGCACTGACAAGAGGGAGGGAGACGGAAACTGTTATTACGGAAATAGTCAGGCCTCAAGTCAACCCAGTTAGAGGAGTTATCAATACCACAGCATTCAAACTACACATTGTAAGTGAAACAACAAACCATTAAAAGGACATCAGTGACGGTATATACATGTAATCTTACAGTTTTTTGAAAGGCATCAACAGAATCAGTTGCTCCCTCAGTCATATTGTAATCATTAATGGCTCTTGTCCAGCCATCTCTATAGCTTTCTTCAGCAGCAGCACTAACATTATCACTGTAATAGAAACTGATGATTGCTCCAATGATACCAAGGAGGATGAGAATAGTCCACACGATGGCGTACTATTAGAAAAGAGATGGTATGGTATTCATCATCAGACTATAATCATCTTACAATGAGGAGAAGAGGTCTCCATTTAAACAATGCACCAAGGACTCCTACTGCTCCAATGGCAATCACAAATATGTTTACAACAATAGAGATGGCAGCTCCAGAGACAGTATCACTCCCAGTAATGAAGTCATAACTTCCATCGGCTGCAACAACTTGCCAGACCCCAATAGAGAAACCAATGATACCAAGTATCTTTAAAAATAAACCAAGAGGTTAGTTTAATCATTGGATCAGATGTCAGTGGCACATATAATATATAACGGTTATTTAGCCTTACAATGAACAATATGTTAAAGATTACAAAGAGAACGCGAAATATGTTAGCACAAGTGCCAAGTTCACTACTGCTACCCATGATGGCTTTCTCTCTTTTCTTCTTTCACAACTTCTTCTTCAAGCAGGATTACACAGCAATTTGAGGATCGCGTGATGGAAAAGGAATGACTAGTGCTAATTAACAATAACAATGAGAATCAATGAATAATTACAAATACCGTAGGTCGGGAAATATTCACGGCTGCAATTATTCGCGGTCATAAAAATTCAATTAACATGGAAAGTGAGCGTTATTTAAGACCACGTGTTTAGTGTTCAACTATTCATCTGTTCTTTAGCAGCTTTAGTGGAGCCATTCACCAATAGCGAGTCCTTCTCTATCTGTTAACTTCTTGTATGGGCCTCTGCCTCAGAGCTCTTTCATCTTCTTTGCTGCAAGTTGTTGCCGGACCGCGTGCTGGTGATAATCGAACAGTGCGTATTGCGTGTGGATCACGTGCACCTAATAAACAATGCACGGAAAGTCAACTCACGCCTCACGGAATATTCGAACGGAAGTGCAATCGACTGTATTCTTGCGTTTATCATTGCGTTATATGGCACTTCCGGTCGCAACGCAAATATTGTGAACCCAGCTTAACTACATACAATGGGCGCCATGGGCGGAGAGTCCCGAAATAGGGCGAGGCACTAGTTCTGAAAAGAACTGATAAAAGCAGCTCCAAAGAGACCAAGGCTTAGTAAAACAAGAAGAACAACAGCTCAAGGACACTGCAGCAAGGTGCTTTTCTTCACCATCTCGCCGTTTTCAATTAAAATAACAGCTCGGTTTCCATGGTTTTTAATTGAATTTTTTTATGACCGCGAATAATTGCAGCCGCGAATCTATGCGCGAATATATCCCGACCTACCTACGGTATTCATAGTGTGGGCGTTGGCTTTTGCAGTGAAAAATGAATTTTCTAACTTATTTTACGATGTATGGCAATTTTAAAAATACCCTGTACTACAGGCCATGCTTTTTCTGCTCCAAAATTTTTATTACACTTTCTGATGCACATCGATGTCTTTATGCTGTGTAGAAAGTTTGAGCTGAGTCCAACTTAAAATTTTTAAGTTACAGCCATCTTAAGAAATTGCCAAAATTCTGAAAAATACCCAAGGCTATAGCTCATGGTTTTTTCAAAAAATGGCTCGGGGATCACCCCAAATTTTTATTACATTTTCTGATGCACATTGGAAAGTTTGAGCTGATTCTGAACTTCAATTTTTCTAGTTTTGCCATTTTTGTATAATTCCCTGTGCCCATGCTTTATTCTTAAAAAATGGCTCTGGAATAATAATAATAATAATTACACAAAAATTTTCTTAAATTTTTTATTTTAGGAAAATTAAGATTCAGCAGCATAAAGTAATAAGGGTAGGATCATCAGCTATTATTATCATTAATTCTTATTAATGTCATCATTTAAACAGATTCATATTTCTTTTCAGCTTTGCAGATAAAATAAAGTACTCCAGCAGCAAGGAGGACAGCAATCAGCTATAAAATGAACATCATTTACTTCTTAATAATATTTATTATACTGCTGGCATACCTCAATAGCTACAAAGACAACCCCAACAATTGCTGAAACTCGCTGGACGTACTGGAACAGATCAACTGTAGAGTCATAGCAACCCTGCACAAACAAGAAAAATTAAAAACCATTTATCTTATCACAACCATGACATCATGTTGTACTGTACCCTTTCATAATGATCAGTTTGAGGATATTCTTGATCATCAAACTCCAAAGTGAAGTTAGTACAATATTCACTTCCTGATTCACATTTACATGAATCTGGTAGAGACAAGCGTTCATTGAAATAAGTAGAATTAAGCTCAACCCAATCTGTGGCATTGTTCAGACCGCAACATTTACCCTGTAAACAGAAGCAATAATATATGCCATTGACAAGTATTTCTATTACATTCTTTTGGATGGTATCAACAGCATCTTTAGCAGCTGTATCAGTTGTATATTCCTTGATAGCCTTCTCCCAGCCATCCCTGTAGCGGTTCTCTACATTTTCTGTTACATTTTCGCTGTAAACAAAACTGAAGGCCACAGCAACAATCTCAAGAATGATGACAACAACCCAGACAGCAATATACTATATAGAGAGAAGAGAATAAACTTGCAATCAATTGCATTTAACTTACAATGATGAGGAGGAACCTTTTCCTCAATACAGCTCCTACTATACCAGCTAGAGCCACCAGTGTGATACCAGTACCAACTATTATCAATAAAGTTGCAGAAGCAACATGATCATTTCCTGTTATAAACTCATATTTTCTGTTGGCCACAAGACTGTATATACCAACAGCTAAAGTACCAATACCCATGAGCTATAAACAATAATAATAATAATAATAAATAAACAAACAACAGTATAGTGGTCTCTTACTGTTGCCAGAGCATTGATGATGACAAATATCACACGCAATATCTTTCCACAGGTTGAAAGGTCTCTTCCCTTTTCTTCTCCTCCCATTGCTGCTGTATTAGTCTAACCTGCAATGAAGGTCTCATAACTACAATGGCAGCAGGTCGTATGCTTACTGATTGAAGAGAGCTGGGCTAGCTAGGGAGAAGAGCTCAAACAAGAAGACAAGAATGGGCGTCACCTCGCTGCTGAAGATCGATAAGAATCAGCATGTGACTGCACCTACGCACTGCACGGGACCATCACGTGTTAGCATTTAATGACTAATGTTACTACAAGTGAAAATATTTACCTACAAAGAATTTTATTTTTAATGAAAAATTAATATGAAGGTATCAAAAAGACAATAATACATTATTGTTATTATTATTGTTGTTGTTATTATTATTGTTATTATTATTATTATTATTATTATTATTATTATTATTATTGGCGCTACTGAAACTACGGATGATTTGAATTACATTAATTAAAAGTTCTTTCTTTCCCCAAAAACCGAAAGGGAACTTTAAACAACTTCATAGCTTCCTCTTGCATTTGTAATGCAACAACACAAACCAATGGCAACAATTATACCAAGGACCTATCAATAAATATTAATTAATTAATCAAACGATTATTCGGGTGGGGTTACTTCAAATATGGCTAAGACAATTCCAGTGATTCCTAAAGCTAGTTGTATGCGTTGAATAAAACGCACAGTAGCATCATAGCAACCCTGAGGAAGGATAATATGAATGGAATGACACACAATAATGGAGACACAACAACACAATACCTCGTCATAAGCAGCCAGGGTAGTACTATTTCCTTCAAGTACGATTGTCACATAGGCACAGTTTCCGGTTCCAATATTGTTACAAAGGCAGGACATTGGGAGAGAGCTGTTGGCAAAATCTGGCCAGTCTTGAGCAGAATCAAGTCCGCAGCAATCATACTAATAATAATAATAAACAATAATAATCTTATACAGAATTAATAATTACTCGAGATTGAAATAGATCCACAATGTTCTTGGCCTCTTCCTTTTCGTCATACTCCTCGATAGCTTCAGTCCAGCCCCTCCTGTACTGCTCCTTTGCTCCATCTGTCACATTAGCACTGTAATAGAAACTAGCAATGGCCCCAGCCACTTCAATCAACACAGCAACGGTCCATATCACTGCATACTGTAGAGGAAGAGCAAAACATCACGTTCTGTTATTGTAAAAGCAAAATATTTCCTAATACAAGCAGTTCAACTGGTCAATAGTACAGTGTGTGTGTGTTTATCATATCATTCTTAGTAGCTAGTTACAGTAAGGCTACACTACCAGGAGTAGGTATGTACTATAATTAAATAAACAAGCATGACATCTTAATGAAGAGGAAATACTTTCAATATAGATCTGTAGTTGTTATTCTTACTATTATGAGAAGTGGTCTCCATCTGAATATAGCCCCCAGAGTCCCTATCCCTCCCACTAGGAATATAATGCACCCAACTGTTATCAGGACAGCTGCTCCATTGGCCGCATTATTGCCAGTCACAAAACTGTATGTCTCTGACTCTACCAGACTATATGAGCCAAAACCAATGGCGACCAAACCCAAACACTAAAAATTGAAAGAGAGTGAATGTATATAGCATATTGAAAGAGTGACCACTTTACAGCTTATTTTAAAGTTTACCATGTAAATGATGTTGGCAAAAACAAAGAGGACTCTAAATATATTGGCACATGTTCCTAGTGAGCCAGTTCCTCCCATCTCTAGCTAGAGTAGTCCTTGGCAGTTAGCTGTAGCTACAGTGAATAACAGTGAATTACAGTATGCTGGATAATAATGGCTCCTAACCACAACTAGCAGCCCTGGTTTGAGGTAAAGGTGTATATGTCTTTATTTTTAATTTAGACAAGGCAAAGACCCAGGGACAGCTAGCAAAGACTTTTAAAGAAGCATTCTGATCGGATTCGTGATTAGTATGCATAATAATTATATATAATCTGATAAAAAGCCGCAATTATGATGATCATTGCTTATACTAATAGAGATAGAGTAGGATTGATAGTAACTCACACACTAGTTCTTAAAGGATCTGCTGCAGGAGACAATCCAAAGGCAACAGAACTGAATAAATGGACCAAGAGCTCTTTCTCTTTTCTTAATCTTCGGCGGCGCGGCGGATATTGGAGCCACACCTCTTTACAAACCGCAAATAAAATAAAAAATATTAAACAAAATCTTTATAATTAACACTATAATATAATTTATATAGACACACAAATCATATAATTAAGTAACACACACACTAATCAGTCAGTGTCACCACCTGCAGTAACTGATTCATCAAGAGTTAGTGTTTCTAAGAGAGACTCATTGTCTTCACCTGGAGCCTTAGCCTCCACCAGCTGCCTAGCTACTGTGAGACTATTCAGTGCTTTAAGTATGTCCTCAGGTTGGAGTCCTAGCCGAACCAACTCAGATAATCCTTCTTGAGGAGAACCCACAGGAGCAGAAGGAACAGCACTCCCTCCCTCGCTCCCCTCCCCATCAATGTGAGCACTAAGAGTAGCAGTGAGGGCTAATATGAGATCAGCAGAGGACAAGGGATGATCCTCCTCTCCCTCGTTAAGAGGGGTGGAAGGAGGCGTGGTCAGTAAGTGCTCATTAATGAAACCCTGAAGTGCTTGTGACAGACTATCAGGAGAAACACTTCTGGTCTGAGACGAGGACAAAGACTCCAAAGCATTTAATATCATTTGAGGAGTTATACTTGAAACCACACCCACTTCCTGTCCCCCTGCAGGGGTACAGGGAGGTGTGGCTAAGGAGAGAGGGGAAGAGTCAAGACAAGGACTGTCTGACTGTCCATCAGGATCATCTCGTGATGGAGGGAGAGAGGGAGGCCTTCCCAATGGATAGTGGTCAAAGAACAATGGATGATCAACTGACTCTGAAGTGTTAGTTGAGAGAGAGTGAGAGGGAGAGGTGTCGGATATAACACTGGGGGATCTCTTGAAGGATTCTACACTCCATGAGACGTGTACAGTAGGTGGAGAGGTAGGTGTGGCTACAGGAGGCGGGGTCAAAGGGGCGGGTGATGGTGTGTGGGTGGGACTGAGGACTCGTTTGGTTATCGGCCACTGGTCAGTATCAGAACCAAACCGATCAGTCAAGGAACGTATCTTTGCCTATTAATAACCATTAATAACTACTGACCACACCCACTGCATGTTACCTGTTCTTTCACAGTTGCCTCCGAACCATCAATTGTCACCTATGAATAATTAATTAATTAATTAATTAATAACAATTGTTACCATTCTTAATTTATGCATGAAACAGGCCAGTAATATGAGTCTACTAGCATTGTTCATCATGACAGGGTTATCTGAAACAACAAGAACAAACATGTACACAAACAATAAACAATAAACAATAAACAATAAACAATATGTATATGTACACGTACTTTTAATTGTGAGTGTGGTCAGTTTCTTGAGTTGAGTAAGATGGTGGAAGTGCTCACAGTTTGATAAAGAGTTGCTGCTGATGTTAAGAGAAGTTAGAGATATGAAAGAGGACAAGTGAGAGAGATCAGCTATCATATTATGTGACATGTTTAGCTCCTTAATATTCTCCAACACCTGAAATAATAATAATAATAATAATAATAATAATAATAATAATAATAACAATAATAATAATAATAATAATGATGATGATGATGATGATGATGATGATGATCATGGTAATATGTAGAAACAAAGTTTAAGAGACCAATCCAACTAAAAATGGGATACTTAAGGACACCTAGGGCTAAATATGAGATACCAAAAGTCTCCCAAACTCCCTCTAGATCTAACAGTTTATCATGAGTAAGACTCACTGTTGACCAGTGGTTAGTTAAAGCCAGATGATAAATACACAGCTCAATTGTCAATATACTGTTAGAGCTACTAACCATCTTGTTAGATGTGACCGAACAGATGTGATTAAAGCTAATATCTAAAGTGGAGAGTGTTGGAAGACACAGGTACTGCAACTCAAGACAAGATAATAGATTATGACTGATATTTAACTACAGAGAGAATGATATGATTCAAGGACAAGTGTTATTATTATTACTTCTTTTAAAACTGGCAAGACTTGTAATGAATCATCAATCTGTGTTAATTTATTATAAGAGATATTCAAATAAGTGAGACGTAACCAAGGCTGTATAACCACCCTAAAATAATAACAACAACAACAACAACAACAACAACAACAATAATAATGAATTCGTTACATTATATCTATTCTTAACTTAATAATTAGTCAAATTCCATTACCTGTTAGTTGTAAATTTAGCAGTTGCTATTAGCCTCCATGAGTCAGTTAAGGAACCTTTAGCCTCAGGAGGTTGCTGCTAGAGGAAAAGAGAGAGAGAGGGAGGAGAGAAAGAGTGGGGGGGGGGGAGAGGTGTCACTAGTATGTTACTAAACACTAACCGTTCTTCTTTCTTCAACTGAATCAATCAGTAGCTCCTAAAAAGTGACACATTAGTACAGGATAGAAACAAAGTGTCTCATACTCTCAAAGTATTGAGGCTCCTTTGAACTGAGACCTTCTCTAACTGTTGCTGGACCCTAACTAGTCCACTCACTTGACTCAATGGAACACAGTCAACCTGCAGTAGTAATGGTAGCGTCTCATACCATGGGTCTATCAATGGGCTTTGGCATAAGATGATCAAAAAGTCCATGTACTGTATAGTACAGGGACTTTTTGCCAAAAATGAAAAGTTGAGAATTCTCAATTTTATTACATTTTCTGATACATATACATATAGTTATGTTGTGTAGAGAGTTTGAGTTGATTCTGATCAAAATTAGATTTTTTACAAATTCATAAAGTTCCCACTCTCACGTACCTTTAGAATAGTAAGGGATCTGAACGGTGTTATCTCAAAGGCCATTCTAGTCACAGAAACTGGAGGAGGAGGGGGAATCACCTTAAGACTGTGGAGCTGGTGAATAAAACTGTATAGATGACCCAGATCAGATGAACGATCTGAACCTAACAAATAATAATAATAACAACAACAACAGTAATAACAATAACAACAACAACAACAATAATAATTACATGAACTGCATGTACTTGTGTGTAGGTCCATTGGTAGTCTTAGTCTTTTGGTGATACAGTACAAGTCATTAATAGTGAGTGCTATTGGTGTCTCCTTCTCCAATAATTTATCACCTAACACATACAACTGCTTAGCAAGGAGCTGAGCCACTTGTATCACATCCTATTAATAGTTATTAATAGTTATTAATGGTTATTGTTAGTGGGTATGTCCTCACGTGAGCTGGTAGATCAAGAAATGATAATAATTCGTTTGACTGAGATATCTGAGCATCACTAAATAGATAGATAAACAAACAAATAATATAAACAACAAGCCCCGCCCACTCTGTTGAACCTGTTAATTAGTTTTTGGAGGTATTGCTCCAGCTGTTGTCTTCTTGCATTGATCAGTTTCGGTTCAAAGTTTCCCGACAGTTTCTTAGGAGGGAGAAGGTCTTTACTGATCTTGTGTTTACGAACAAGCTGACAAAAGAATTGATGATCATTAATTAGAACAGTCTTTACTAACACGCCTTTTTATTTACTTTTCTATGTAACTCGTTAAATTCACTGTATCTCCTACAGATATACCAGTGGGCATGTTCTGTTAGTACGTCTATCCTGTACAGCTGGAGGAGAGAGAGTGAGGGTTGCTCAATACATTATGATAGAGGAGGTTTGGTTAATGGCTGTCTCTACTTACCACGTGAGTCGACGGGTCGTGTTTCAGTTCAGTTCCTCTTATTACAACGTGTCTTATTATTTTAGACTCTGTGGTGTATTCTGGTGTTCTGTCTCTCCTCCAGACAGCTCTACCCTCATCTGGTAAATATGAACCAAGAGACGCCATCTTGATAGATGACACACCCACTTATGAGGTGTGGCCTAAAGTAAGGCTACTGCCACACCTACTTAACTTCAAAATTTTTAACTTTTAAAATTTTAATTTCAAATTTAAATTTTAAAAGTTAGTTCTCAAGTTATTAATAACCACATGTAAAGAGATGATACTCCATGCTCCTCACCTTATTCTTTCTTTAAGATGCCTCGTTCCCTCTGTGTTCCTAATGGGCTCCTCCACCAGTTACTGGGTAGCGGCTACTCTTCTTAAACTGATCAGTTTACCTTTTGGGGGCCAGAGGGGGAGAAGCCTCTACCACAGAATGGACCAGAGGCTCTACTCCTCCATGATGGCAATGTTTGGATACTTCTTTGAACACTGGTCTGGCGTTCAAGTTAGGGGCGTGGTTATACATTGTACTGTAGGGGTGTGGCCTAATTAATGGTGGGAAATATTTGATTCCTTATATGGTAGTGGGTATACCTGCGTATAATTAATGGTTGACGTACCTTTTAATGACTATTATTATTATTATTATTATTATTATTATTATTGTTGTTGTTATTCTGTAGTATTGTTTCTATGGTGATCCTTTACCACAAACTCCAGAGAGTGTTATATACATCAGCAACCATCAATCAACAGGTTCACTTCCTCAATAATGTTTAATTAATTAATTTATTATTATTATTATTACTGTTAGTTGATTGGCTGATTCCTGAGATATTGTGTTTAAAGCAAGGTGGGTTTGGAGGTCGTGTTCATTACTTCTTAAAGAAAGCTGTCTTGTATATACCTCTGTATGGCTCCTATCTTGGAACTGTAAGATAATGTATCATCATCATAGCTCCGCCCTTTCATTAATAAATAGAGACACAATATATTTCTTAAGAAGAATCAATCTAAGAACCATGATTGGTTGAAAAGGTATGTTCTTGGGGTTAAATATAAATGTATTTTATTTATTGATTTATTGTAGGAAACTGCTAGAGCTTGGTAACACTGGCATTCCAGTAGGATTGTTGTTGCATTAATTACTCAATATAATGTGTGTGTGTGTGTCTGTTTAAATTTAGGTTTGGTTGGTGATATTTCCTGAAGGGACTCGGTTCAATCTCAGTAAGCCTGATAAACTAAGGAAAAGTCATTCTTATGCTGAAAGCTTGGGACAACCGAAACTGGAGCAAGTTCTAACGCCACACACAACTGGGTTTGAGGTATGGGCTGTACTAGTTGAATGGAGATTGCAATGAAACACACTCTGATTCCCATACTCTGATACCATGCTTCATACTTTCATTCCCATACTCTCATTCCTGTTATTATTAGTTAACTCTTGAGACATTGAAGGAGAGGTTCCAAGCAGTTTATGATATTACCATTATATACGAGGGGAAGGAAGGACATTCCGTTCGATCTCCTCCACCCGACATGTTTGGTATGGTAATTGCAACACTTTTAATTTGTGGCCATGAACATTCCAAATGATACCGTATACGTTCAAATTTTCGAGGGTTCAAAATTTCGTGTTTTCAATGAAATTTGCTCAAAAGTTAATATTCGTGTGAGCTAATTTTCGTGTTCTGGCCATAGTCTACATACAATAGAATGGCATTAGAGGTGGTTTAAATTTCGGGGATTTAAGGTGAGCACAAAAATAACAAAATTTAATACACCTTGAAAATTAAGACGCGTACGGTAATGATTTTGATCAGTTTCATTGATACAGATACCTTTATTTGCTAGGGTTTTACTCTGGAGTGTGTCAAAAAGTACATATTCATATTAAAAGAACTGAAGTATCTGATATACCCAATACTGTTGAAGAGCAAAGACAATGGCTCTTCGACTCCTTCAAAGATAAAGACAAGTATTTTATTGTTTTTATTTTATTATTTTTATTTTATTTATTTTTATTTTTGTAGATTGATCACTGATTTCATATCATCAGGAATAGTACGTGGTCAAACTAGGTCCCTCCCTCTCCCTCTCTCCTATACTCTACCACCAGTGATGGCCTATGGATCAGTACTGTTACTAATGGCAACCACAAAACATGGCCGTTTTTTCTGGTTGGGAGCATTGATATTCTACAGTCTCTGTGGATATATAGCAATACAGCAAAAGCTAATCGACTGAGTGTTGTAATGTGTTTTGTTTGTGTTGTAAACTAGTTGTCTCTAGTGTTGAACAAACAATTAAATATTATTAAATGGGCAACTTTTGATGAATTAGTTTGTGAATGAAATGATTTTTAGTTGAAAATCACTGAAACTTTTATGTAGTGTAGAAAATTTGGATTGATTCCATTAAAGTTAGGACTTTTCATGAATTTTTAAATGTATTCAAAAATCAGAAAAAACTCCCTGTACTGCAGTACAGGGAATTTTTCCAAAAAATGGCTCCGAAATCACCCCTAATTTTTATTACATTTTCTGATACATATTGATGCCCTTATGCTATGTAGCAAGTTTGAGGCGATTCCGACTTCAATTTTTCAAGTTACGGCTATTTTAAGAAAACGTCAAAATTCTGAAAAAATCCCTGTACTATAGCCCATGGTTTTTTTCAAAAAATGGCTCCGAAATCACCCCTAATTTTTATTACATTTTCTGATACATATTGATGCCCTTATGCTATGTAGCAAGTTTGAGGCGATTCCGACTTCAATTTTTCAAGTTACGGCTATTTTAAGAAAACGTCAAAATTCTGAAAAAATCCCTGTACTATAGCCCATGGTTTTTTTCAAAAAATGGCTCCGAAATCACCTCTAATTTTTATTACATTTTCTGATACATATTGATGCCCTTATGCTATGTAGCAAGTTTGAGGCGATTCCGACTTCAATTTTTCAAGTTACGGCTATTTTTAAAAAATGTCAAAATTCTGAGAAAATCCCTGTACTATAGCCCATGGTTTTTTTCAAAAAATGGCTCCGAAATCACCCCTAATTTTTATTACATTTTCTGATACATATTGATGCCCTTATGCTATGTAGCAAGTTTGAGGCGATTCCGACTTCAATTTTTCAAGTTACGGCTATTTTAAGAAAACGTCAAAATTCTGAAAAAATCCCTGTACTATACCATGGTTTTTTTCAAAAAATGGCTCCGAAATCACCTCTAATTTTTATTAAATTTTCTGATACATATACATGTAGTTATGTTGTGTAGAAGTTTGAGCTCAGTGTTTCTTTTTAAAAAAGCAGAGATGATGTACTTTTTATGTTGTAATTTTCTGATAATTAAACTTTTCAAAATTTCAGTAACAACTCAATTACATAAATCAATAATTAATGAGTTATGCCACCAGTGCAGAAGCAGTAGAGCTCTCACTAAAAGAGAGAGAGAGAGAGAAGGGAAAGAGGATCAATTTAGTTTTATTTCTGTTCAAACTTACTATTTCCAGTTTGGAGGCAGGACACTCTTGGTCTTATAATAGCGTGCCAGTCGGTGAATCCGACTCTCAACAAGAATCAACCTAAACTTGCTGTCCTTATCTTTCCTGTGCTTCTCCATGTGTTTTCTAATGGAGACTGCTTTCTTTATTAAATGGTACAGGTCCTCCGGTAGAGAAGGAGCAAGAGCTATTAATAATAATAAAAATATAATAATAATAACAGACTCCTCCCACCTTTAGCTTTCAATATTCTCAGTATCTTGTTTCCAGTGATCCATTTCACTTGAGCGATACCAAATGAATCTCTCAAGACCACACCTACCAGTATCAACTAATCAGGGTTTGCTCAGTGAGGGTTACTAACCAATTTGAGATGGAGTCATTCCTTTCTTTGCTAATTTGTATATCTGTTCCTTGACCTCCTCAGGCGACAACTTCAACCACTAATAAAATAATAATAATAATGATAATATCAATAATGGTCTGTTACTGTTGGAACACTCCTGCGATATGGTAGTGATGACTTTGAAATTCCTTTACTAGAAAAGAAAGAGACAAACAAACAATAAATAGACAGAAAGAGGTCCTTACCCAGGTGTGTGCATACGACCCATTTTGTTCCCTTTATCAAAAGACCATGTGCAAGATCACGTGAGGCTTTTGAGTGTCAATGTACCATGTGGTTTGAATGTACGGAAATATACGAAAAGTTTTCATGAACCACACCCACCAGTGCTGAGTAAGCTGCCAATGGTCACCTCATCCAAGTGAGATGCCTGTCTATTACAGTGCTCTTTCTCGTGGTCGTGTCGTCCTTTGTGACTATTCAACTGTTAAGGTTCAGTTGGAGGATGTTGCTCTCAAAGCTCTGGAGCTACTGGGACCATCAGATGAACGTAGACGACAAGAAATTGATGGAAAACTGATATTCACCCTAACCATTGACAGCATGACCTTCCTAGCCATTACTGACCTGGACTATGGGAGAGTAAGACCAGCCATTCAATATAAGATATTATTATTATTATTATTATTGTTGTTATTATTGCTAATAGGAAGATGCCTTCAATTTTTTGGGTATGGCACATTCACAATTAAAAGCTCTTGGTCTTGTGAAAAAAGCAAAATCTTGTTCTCACTTTGCTCTTCGTCCTGACTTCCAGGAGGAACTGGGCCGTTTGACGATGGAGGCTTGTGGTGACTCAAGACTTGGGTTCAAGAGTAAATTTGAGAATGTCCATCACATAGTGAGGCAGAACGTTGATAAGGTGGTGGAGAGAGGAGAAGCTTTAGCCTCACTCGAGGAGAGGTCAGAATATCTTAAACTGAACTCGACTGAGTTTCAACGAACAGCAACTAAACTCAAGAGGAAGATGCTTTGTGGGTCGATCAAATTGTGGGCAGTTCTGATAATAATAATAATATTAATAATAGCTGTCATTGCTACTTTGATTGCTTTGGCTGCTACTCATAAAATATAAACCAAAGGACTTTAATCATTTTATATACTTATATACATGTTCATGATAATTAGTCTGTCATTATTATTGTTATCTTGTATTTAATGAATCGGTAACTCATTGAAAGTAGCAGCAACAGTTTGAAGTGAACATTATTATCATAAGACAACATCAACAGCACATTGGTACAAAAATATAAAGAAATTAATTGTAGTCAGACTAATTTAGTAATTGTTTCTGATGGTTGCCATGGTGACCACAGGCAGGACGACAGCTAAAGGTATAAGACAAAACAGAGAGAGAGGGAGGGAGGGAGAGAGAGAGAGGGAGGGAGAGAGAGGGAGGGAGAGAGAGAGAGAGGGAGATCTAGTGTTTTAATCTTCATCCAGTACATCATCAGAATCAGAACTATCAAGTATTGAAGGTCGTGAGGCTCCACCCACTTTACTGCTCCCACCAGTGGAGAGGACTGGGTTGGTCGCTCGATGAATGAAGACATCAACTGAAGCTGAAGAACCTTTACCACTGTCGTGAGAGACTCCGTTAGTTGAATGAAGAGTAAGAGTATCATCCGAGGATCCACTCCGAGTCTCTGAGTCAACAAACTCACCCATCATAATGGGACTACCACTTGCTGTACTGCTGGCCTTAGGCCTGACCACACCTCCTGTTAACGAATCACCGGCCATTACTGCCTGTATCTTATCACATACCCTATGGAACCTCCTTAACGCCCCTATATAATAAAAGAGATTATTGTGTTAAATTGACAGTCAGTATATTCCTGGATATCAGGACTACCTGAGGTTTGTTCAAATGTCATAGAGTGAGTTTGTCCATCAAACACTGAGTTAGTCTGCATGTCAGCCGACACAGTACTGCCCCGCCTCCTTTGGACCGGTATTATGGCAACTGTGAACTTGACCTTTTTCTTCAGAATAGTTTTACCTAATAAGGGCGTTATAATGAGAGGGTGTGGCATTGTAATTAGTGGGTGTGTCTGACCTTTTGATTCCGCTTCAGTTGATTTCTGATACTTACACTTGTACAAGTTATCCCCAATCAATTCACTGGATACGTTAACAACCTAAAGTTAGTATAACTCAGTATAACTCAGTATAACTCATTGCTAAACAAACATGGCACTGGGCCAATGGATTGTCTATTGCCTCAAGGAACACAACAACATATATGGAAAGTGAATCCTGTCTTACTGTGAAAGCTTTAAGTAATAGTTGTTTTAGTTCTGCTCCAGTTTTATCCCGATAGACTACGACCACCTACCATTAACAATACATGTATATGCTTCACCATAAATGTAATAGCAATACCTCTTCATTCTCTTTGTCAACTTTAAAATTGGAAAACCATGACCTTTTTGCACTAGATGTAAACAATAAACAATAGCAATGTTATCCTTTAAACAACAAATAACGACACATTAGCAGTTAGTAACAATATGGTATCAGTCCAGTACAAATATGTATCACTTAAACCCATACACTGCCCTACAGTTCAGCAACAAGTAACAACATATTCTTGTGGTCTGACAATTTTGGGATTTATTATCATAAAATTTGTAGTTTGTTAGAAACTTTGAAAAAATTTCAATCAATGGATTTTATGAATTTTTAGTTATTCCACAATCTGGCCAAAGTCCCTGTACTATAGTACATGGTCTTGGGCCAAATTTTGCCCAATATTCCAAGGAGAGAATTCCTAATGCATTACATGAACATTGTGTGTTTTACGTTTGCGGTGATGCTCCTACTGCTCCTCCTTCACTTGGTGTTTCTTCAAACCTCTTCCGGTGGAACCGAGGAGAACTCACTATAGTCTTCAGAGTCGTTGACAGTCTACGTTTCCATGGCGATGCCCCTCCCGTTTCCCCAGCAGCTGTTGTCGTGACAACCGTCGGTGGCAATGTCTGACACTCATGTCCTGCCATGCTTATTTTACGAGACGGTCCTCCTCCTTTCTCCTTCTGGTTACTGCTGTATGAATAGTAACCAGTGGGGGGAGTGTAGGAGGGGGGAACACTGGGCCTATGAATAAATAATGTGAGAGTATCAATTAATCAATTATATTCATTAATGATATTCATAGGCTGTGTATTAACTCAGTGAATATATTAATAGCTTACGTTCCTCTAGAGCGAGGGGGAGGGGGGCTAACATCAAGGCCAGCTGAACCAATGGACTGAGAACGGACTCGTTGCATTTGAATGGACGAGGGTAGGACAGCCTGTGAGTCAACTCTCTTCCGTGGAGGGTCTAAAGTGGATGAACACGTAAAGTAAACATGAGGAGATTGGGGCCCTCACCTCTTTGCTGTCCTACATTGACCCTTGCTTCATCAGCAAGACTTGGTTTCTTGTCCTTTCTCTCCAGCAGCAGGAAGTATATGATCTTTTCTTCGTTATGTCTAAGGAGAGTACACATTAGTTAATAGACCTCTCCTTCTCTTACTCTGGTGCCAGTAGGTTAGTCATTAGCTTATGTTTGTCTCTGAAGCAGCCCAGTGATGTCATCCCATCAAACACGTCAGGATCAATGTCACTTCTGTCCAGGAGTGGGTAGGTCTGTACCACTTCCCCCATTGGGAGAACCGGCTCTATGACCCCGTCCAGTGAGAAGGAACCTTGAAACCAAGCGTGTCTCATGACCTTATCCAACTAGAAGAGAAAACAGAGTCATCATCATCATCATCATCAACTACTTACAGTTAATCTCGACTTAGGATTCACGTCAACCATTCCTCTTATCAGTTCTTGAGCTCCTGCTGGTACATAAGTTGGTATGTTGAACCTTCCTCTCTTGACCTTCTCAAGGAGGACTCTCAAGTTGTCATCATCAAAAGGTAAGGAGCCCTAACAGAATAGGGAGGAGTGTCACACATAACAATAGTAAAGATGAATGGATTAATAAAGAGGGGGAGAGAGACATTTTGAATATTTGTCATGCCATGTGTGTGTGAAGCATATAGTTTATCACATACCACTAGCAATGCAAATAGAATAACACCCAGACTCCACACATCAGCTTTACGACCATCATAGTTCTCACCCTTTTTTTGAGTGTTATTAAAAACATGTCAGTATATCAAAGACTATGGACTTACTCTTATAACTTCAGGACAGGCATAATGAGGTGATCTAGAGGAGGTATGAGCTGATACATGTACTGAATGGAGTGAGTCTTACCCGCAGCTAGTTTCAAGTAATGTTCCTGTAACTTGTAACGAGGCCATTCCAAAATCAGCCACTTTTATATTCCGCTGGTCATCCAACAGAAGGTTCTCTGGTTTTAGGTCTCTGTGACTAATAAAGAATCATTAGTCTGAGGCCATTGGTAACATGTTCCTTACCACACAGAATGCTTGTGACAGAAATCGACAGCAGATACTATTTGCTTAAAGAATCTCCTTGCCTGAGAACATAAAGAATACAAAGAGGATGAACATCACACGGAAAGAGAGAGAGAGAGAGAGAGAGGGAGAGAGAGAAAGGAAGAATGGATATAATAATAACAATATTGTCCCAGTGCCAGTGCCAGGATTGTTAGTTATACTGAAGTCAGTTAGTTTCTGTTACATGTTCATAACAATGCACTCACCTCTCTCTCTGACAGTCTTCCTTTCCTAACCAAGTAGTCAAACAGCTCACCACCTGATACATGTTCCAGAACCAGGTATCTAAAGAGAGACCAGTATTAAAAGGTACTCAGTTCTATTCTTACAGGTGCACGTTATTTTCATAGACGTCGTGAAGTCCCAGTACATGAGGATGGTCGATCAGCTTCATGATGGCTATCTCTCGCTCAACCTAGCACCGTGTACATGAAGAGCATGGATCATGACAGACTGTCAGTGGGTACCTTCATCAATACTGACTTGCTCAGTTTCTCTCTGTTGATAATCTTTACAGCTACAGTCTTACCAGTAGTACAGTGAACCCCCAGTTTCACAAGACCTTCATCATAAAGACACTCTCACTCTATTTCTAAGGCGGGTACACTTCCTCACCTGTTTGGCCTTTACCCAGTGTTTTCTGGAGTAGATAAGGACCTACAGCTCTTGTGTTGGACTCATCAGTTGCCATTTCAGACCGGATTGGGTCCTTCTCTCCAGCAAATCAATAATATCCCTGTTCCTTGTACAGTGTAGCCAAAGACTGATGTGATGGGTGAATTATTGACCACGCCCACACAATAGACCACTGATTACCAATGGGTGTGGTCAATAAACTTTAATTAATTGATTGGATACTTGTTATTAATGGTTCTTATGATTATAAATAAAAATGAGCTATCATTATTATTATTATTATCTAATTAATATTCTACAATTATCATTATTATTATTAAATCAGTTGCTATAAGGTTTAGGAGTGCTTGATCTTGAGTCATCAGACGAGCTCTCTCCTCCCTCCCTCTCTCTCTCACTAGCACTGCTCCTGTGTCCACTGGTAGTCTCACTGCTTGAATACTTGACTGGAGCTAGTTCAACAGAAGGTGATGATACAGGGACTGATAGTATCTCTCTTAAATATTTATTCTCATATTCAAGTTGTGAGATCTTCTCCCGTAGCAGCTGAGTTGATGAATCCTCGGTCTTGGCAGCATGATACATGACAGTAGCCATTTCACAGATCTGGTCTGTCCTCAGTCTAACCTCCTACAACACAAGATGACGATCATCATACAATAGCTCCATTGTAGTGTATTATTACTTCTGATAGTTTTTCTTGTATTAAAGAGTCTTCCTTGGACTTTATGTCAACAAAAGAGCTCATCTAAAACCACACCCAGTGATAACCACACCCACTATTGGTAAGGTCTAACCTGGTTACGGTATTTGGTCATTATCATGTCGAGGGCGGCCTGGTGGTCCTCTAGCAGAGACCGTAACTCTGAGTTGTCCTGTTGGAGCTGACGTATGTAACTAAATTCAATCCGAGGGGGCCCCCTGGGCTGATCTTCCCCACCACTGATTTCTTGTACTGCACTTTGATACTGTGGGGGTGTATAACTAATTAACTAGTGACCACACCCACAATACCTGTATCATGGCCTTTACTGTCTGTTGGAGAGTCTCACTCTTTCTCAGGAGGTCATTCATGGCCCCCTCGTTGCTGTCTATCTTGTCTGAGAGCTCTTTTGATACTGAGAGAAGTCTCTCCATTTTGATATTCAGTAAGATCACGTGATACAAACTCCACCTACCCAGCTACCGGAAGTATACAAAAAATAATCTCCGTATACTTTAAAGTAAGCCCCACCCAGTGAGCATGAGCAGAAGGTTGGCCACACCTCTCAAAAATGGCAGCAGAGTCTGAAGACAGGCTAGAGGCACTCATAGAAGACCTCCTCAGGATCAATGCCATTAAATTTGGTTCTTTTAAGCTCAAAAGTGGAGTAGACTCACCAATTTATTTTGACCTAAGAGTAATAGTATCTTACCCTAAAATTCTAGTTAGTACAAATAATTACAATTCATTATTATTATTATTATTATTATTATTATTATTATTATTATTATTATTATTATTATTATTATTATTATTATTATTATTGTTATTATTATTATTATTATTATTATTATTATTATTGTTACTATTATTATTGATAGGGTCTAGTAGCTGATTTGTTATGGTCTAGGGCTCAGTCTGAGGGTATCAGTTTGGACTGTATCTGTGGAGTACCCTATACAGCACTGCCCTTTGCTACTGTGAGTGGGTGGGGCTAGTTATTAACTAGTTATTAATTGGAACTTATTCTTAACAGGTAGTGTCTGTCAAGTATGGCGTTCCTATGGTAATGAGAAGGAAAGAGGCCAAGGATTATGGGACTAAAGTAATGGGGAGTGTTCATTATTGTAATACTGGCTCTTGTGGTGTGGGAGCCATTAGTGGAGAGACAATGTTGTTTTAGCATTAATGGACTTTTAATGTACCACTTTATCTCCCTCTCTCTCTCTCTCTCCCTCTTTCCCCAGCGTATGGTAGAAGGTAGTTGGTTGCCAGGCAGTGACTGCTTGTTGTTTGAAGATGTAGTTACCACAGGATCCAGTGTTTTAGAAACAGTTGAAGTATTAAAAACAGCTGGTCTCGAGGTAAAGAATACGATAGTACTTCTAAATAGAGAGCAGGGAGGCAGCGAGAACCTAGCTAGCAGGGGCATTCAGTTATACAGGTACATACTGTATGTATTATTGATATTACATGATTATTATATAGTGTATTGTCTGTGTATAAAGTATTAGATGTTCTTTTGTCCAAGAATAAAATTGATTTAAATATGGCTGAGAGAGTGAGAGGGTTTTTAAACGGGACCACACCTGATTCATCGCTGCTAACCACACCAATCACTACCAAAATTAAAAAAGTAATTAATATTAAAAAAAATTATATTATATATCTTATTTAAGAGATTAAGATATTCTGAAAGGAGAGATATAGCTAGTCACAAAGCAGTGAAGAGATTACTGTCAATAATGGAAAAGAAAAAGACCAACCTGGCACTCTCTGCTGACCTTACCACCACTGACAAATTGATTAAAGTCTGGGGGAATGTTTTGTTGTTGTTATTATTTGTTGTTTAGCTAGTTGATGAAGTTGGCCCTCATGTTTGTCTGGTTAAGACTCATGTTGACATAATGTCCGACTTTTCTTACGACGGAACTGGTCTAAGACTCAAGGAATTAGCAAAGAAACACAATTTCATGATCATGGAGGACAGGCAGGGCCTGATTCATAGAGCCTACTGTTTTTATTTAATTGTAGGAAGTTTTCTGATATCGGTAATACCTGTAAACTCCAGTATACTTCTCCTCTCTATTCTCTTTCTGATTGGTCGGACCTTGTCACATGTCATGGGATTGCTGGTCCTGGAACAGTTAACGCTCTCTCAGACGTAATCAATATACATGTATTAGTACAGTTACCATGACAACGTAGGTGATACCTGAAGGAAGTGGATGTGTCCTAGTAGCAGAGATGAGTAGCAGAGCCTGTTTGACCAGTTCAGAGTATAAAGAATCTGTCCTGAGAATAGCCAGAGATTTTGATAATGTCATTGGGCTCATTTGTCAAAGGAAACTATCGGAGAGAGAAGACATCTTGTACATGACACCTGGTAGGCCACACCTCCTTTTAATTAATATTAATATTAATATTATTGTTATTGTTGTTGTTATTATTGTTGTTATTGATAGGTGTGAATATTGATAAAGAAGGTGATCGGTTAGGGCAGCAGTACCATAGTCCTGAGGAGGTAAGGAGGTGTTGCTCTGGTATCACTAACTGGTTGTCCATTAGGTGATCATTAGGAAGGAGTCTGATATCATTATTGTTGGACGTGGCATTTATGAATCAGCAGATCCTGTGGCAAGTGCCATTCAATACAAGAACAGGTCATACTCAGCTTACACTGAGTCAATAACTATCCCTGAACACTAATAGCCTTTATCAGTCTGTGTATACACTGCATGGGAGAGGAATGTAAAGAGGGCTGTCTTTCACATCATACATGAATTAATGAGGTTATTAATTGAGTGGGCGTGGTTATAAACCTACTTGTAGGTGTGGCCCATCAAACAAAGAAGAGAGAGAGAGAAGGAACTGCTAATGGCGTTAGAACAGCAGAGGGTACCTCTAGGTAGCAATAAATGGAGCAGTTGCTTATGGCAGGCGGAAAGAGGCCCTGCTGGTTTCATTCTACCCCAAGCACAGGTCGATAAAGGAGAGGTAGACCAGACTAAACTAGGAGGAGGACCATCAGGAGATTATCCCGTGAGCATCAGGGAGCTCATACCATCCCCCACTTCAGTTTATGACGTGTTAGACAGACTAGGTAGGGGTACCTTTGGTCAGGTGGTGCGGGCCTGGAAGAAGAACACTTCAGAGATTGTGGCCATAAAGATACTCAAGAGCACTCCTTCCTATGCCAAGCAAGGACAGATGGAGGTTGACGTTTTATCGAAACTGAGTCGACTCTCGCCTGATGAAGGATCTTTTGTAAAAGCGTACGAGAGTTTCCAACACCACGGACACATCTGTATAGTGTTTGAGTTGCTTCACATCAATCTTTATGATTATTTAAAACAATCTCGGTTCGACCCTCTGCCTTTAAAATATATCAGACCAATTGCTCAACAGGTAGGAAAGTGTTAAATATTATTTATTTATTTATTTATTTATTGTGAGGTCAATAGTTGCAGTGACATTTCCTTCCTCTTGTTTCCTTTGTGTTAAATTCTTTATTAATTAATAAATTAATAATTATTATTGATGTCAGGTTCTATGTTGTCTTGAGAAGCTAGCTTCACTGGGTTTGGTACATGCTGACTTAAAACCAGAGAATATAATGTTAGTAGATCCACAGAGGTATCCTTTCAAAGTGAAGGTATGGGTACACATTAAAGTGTTACAAGTTGTAATGTATTGTATTGGTGCTGCTGCTGCAGGTAATAGACTTTGGGTCTGCTATGTCACGTGATAAAACCAGCCCCTCCTGTTACCTCCAGAGCAGATACTACAGGTAAGCCTCTTCATTTATTCATTCATTAAACTCCTCCCCCAGGGCCCCCGAGGTTATTCTTGGTGTTAATTTCAACGAAGGTATTGACATGTGGTCTCTTGGCTGTGTCTTGGCTGAGCTTTATTTGGGTTGGCCTTTGTTCCCTGGGGCTAGTGAGTTTGACCAGATCACTTACATTTGTCAGACACTAGGACCACTCCCTCATCATCTCATGAGGAACATCACCAAAGCAACGAGATTCTTTAATTGTGACCCTGTCACTAGCACTTGGTCTCTTAAGGTCAGTATCCTTATCTTTTGTGCAAGTAGTGTATGTTTCAAACAGTCCTAATGCCTCCATTAGTTAGTCTATTACTGTTCTGTATGGTACAGTATCAGTCTCCATTACATGTACACCTGTTCTTTGTATAGCCTTCCTCCAGAGCAGCTGTTATTAATGTTACCTCATTTATAATCCTGTCTATAGTAACAAGTTGTTACTGACGCATCTGTGGGTCGAGTAATGTTTAGTAATCCCTACCTTATTTAGTAATGACATGTCATGTGATCTGTAGTTGTGTCTAGTTGATATGTCTCCTCTTCTTTCCTTTGATCCAGTCAATCAGTCAATACACTCAGGAGACTGGCATTCAATCAAAGGAGTCTCGGAAATATATCTTCAGATCTTTACTGGACATGAACCACCTGCCCCCACTAGCGGCTGGCATTGATAATAGAGAGGCTATCCTCACGTCAGTGGATCGGATGGAGTTCATATCACTTCTCTCTCGCATGCTGTCCCTGGACCCTACCCAAAGGATCCGCCCCCTCTCAGCTCTACAGAGTCCGTTCATAACAATGCAGCACCTGGCGACCCACACCAACACACAGACAGTGTGGAGCTGGATACAAGCAATGGCTGTCTGTCACCAGCCACGCCTCTCGACCACACCCCTCAGTATAAACACTCATCCTTCATTGCAGCTACTGGGCCATACAGGACTAACAGGAGGTGGGGTCCTACCCACGTCATGTTGCCGTCAATCATTACAAACTGGCCTCTATCAAACTGCTGTCATACCTCATAACGGAGCTCATCTGGTAAGCCACATCTACTTTAACCACACCCATTTACCCATCCCTTAGGTATGTCATGTTGCTCCTTCAACATTTGGATATCTCCCAGTCTCTCACTCTCACCTCATTCAGACCCACCAGAGAGAGACTCACCCGGTACTGACTACTGGTCAGTGGATACTGGAACCAACAACAAGACTACAACAACAACAACAACAACAACAACAACAACAACAACAACATGGAGGAGGAGGAGGAGGAGGTGTTTATGCTCATCATTTGTGTACTTGTCATCAACACAGTCAGTCACAACAGCAGGCAAGGAATCAAGTAGGATCAACATATTCACTTTATACTTTACACATGTACATGTACTTTAAAATGGAATTAACTATCAAAAGCAATATTATAATGAATATTTTGTTATGAAGCCTAGGCAAGGCCTAAATGTATTATTATTATTCTTATTAATTATTCATTAGGTGATATTACCTTCTGATCAAGTGGTTACTGCAGCAACTCATCTTCCAACTGATTCCATTACTAATAAGCTCCTCCCACTTCAGCTCCCGGCTTATCATCCATTTAGTCGTCTCTAATTAAAGGGACAACAGTGGGTGTGGTTGATAAAGGGAGTGGTTTATTTCTCGTATCTTTTTGTCATTGATTAATTATTGCCTAATGTAGGCAGTGACATTCACAATTTTTGTATGTATATTGTAATTTTATTAATAACTACTTATTATCTGACCACGCCTGTTATTAATAACTAGCCACACCTATATCAAAATGAGTAATCCTAAAAGAGCAGAGAGAGCTAAAAGGTTTGTTCCAGTGTCTCTAGTCGAAGGACCTTCCTATGGAGAACATATTAACGCTATTGGAATGGTCTTCAGTTTAGTAGGACTCCTAATGAGGGTAGGAGTAATAATAATAATAATAGTAGTAATTGTTTATTTATTTATTTATTTTTAGTTGAAATGGGCCACATGGTGTGGGGTCTATTGTGCAATTTTTTATTTTGCGAACGTCAAATCAACTGATGACAAGAAACAGACCTTTAGTTTATTAATGTATGGAATTACCTCTAATTTCTATTACATTTTCTGATACATATTGATGCCCTTATGCTGTGTAGAAAGTTTGAGCTGATTCCAACTTCAATTTTTCAAGTTACGGCCATTTTAAGAAAACGTCAAAATTCTGAAAAAATCCCTGTACTATAGCCCATGGTTTTTTCGAAAAGATGGCTCCGAATTCACACCAAATTTTTATCACATTTTCTGATACATATTGATGCCCTTATGCTGTGTAGAAAGTTTGAGCTGATTCCAACTTCAATTTTTAAGTTACAGCCATTTTAAGAAAACGTCAAAATTCTGAAAAAATCCCTGTACTATAGCCCATGGTTTTTTCAAAAAAATGGCTCCAAATTCACACCAAATTTTTATTACATTTTCTGATACATATTGATGTCCTTATGCTGTGTAGAAAGTTTGAGCTGATTCCGACTTCAATTTTTCAAGTTACGGCCATTTTAAGAAAATGGCAAAATTCTGAAAAATACCCAAGGCTATAGCACATGGTTTTTTTCAAAAAATGGCTCCGAAGTCACCCCAAATTTTTATTACATTTTCTGATACATATTGATGCCCTTATGCTGTGTAGAAAGTTTAGCTGATTCTTACTTCAATTTTCTTAGTTAAAAAAATTGGCCCTGACATTATTCCAAATTTTTATGATACATTATTGATGTACTTGTTCATTTATTTAGGTTAGCTGTTTCATCTCTTGTGATGGTTTATATGCAGAACCCTACACCTTTAATTGACTCCTAATTGTTAATAATTAATTATTACAAGTGTTGTTAGATTATAATATCAGTTATTCTTGAGTTGTTCGTGTTAGTTATAGCCGCCCCAGTTCCGTGACTCCAGTGAGTGCTGCTGGTACAATACCCCAAGGTTTGGATTGTGTTGTCTTAATTGAGTTAAGTGCACTGGAGCCATTGGCTGTGATCTTATAACTGTGCTACCTCTGTGTGGACTCCAGACCTGTATAACATGCATGTATATAACAATGGCTTAGTGTATGTATGTATGTACCATTTGTTGTGTTGGTGGAGATTGCTGCAATGAAACTACAGGAAAAAGCATTAAAGGTTAAGTGAAGTCAAATGTTATATCTTACAAGGATGATGTGATTCTGTTGGTATATTAAAAGCTTGCAGTGCTAGTTCTTCTGGAGTGTAGCTCACCAGGTGAGAGGCAGTAGGATAACTTGATGGTTGGTCTGTAGTTGAATCTATCGATGACCCTCCATGAGTTGTACCCAGTCCCTGCTCTACTCTCTCTAGCTCTTTATGTAATTTCAATAATTCCTTCAGTTGCTTTTGAGTATAAGTTTGATCATTGTCTCTCCTAGCCTGAGGCTGGAGTGAAGGTAGCTCATGCCATCTCGCATTAGTCTGTGTTGACTTTAAGAAACATTAAGACATTAAGTGTGCATGTTGATGTACCTGCAAAGGCTGTATGCTGACTAGCTGGACCCCATCACTAGTTGATATCCATGCCAGTTCATTAGAAGGTTGCACTGTCCTTTCCTTCATTATTGATCGACTGGTTAGCTGGTTCAATGGTCGTGCACGCATACTTCTTCCTGATCTATACTTACGAGACTGTGCAATGGACCCAGTAATACAGTATGTTAACATTATGACCAGTTACTTGTCTTGAGGGAGGGACTCCTCTTATTTGATCAACAGTTGTATCGTAACCATCAGACGGACCCCCTGATGGACCCACTGGTACTCCACGACTAGTTCTACGTCTCTTTTTCCTTATAAGGAAATAATAATAATTATTAATAGTTATTAAGATTGCTACTTTGTGTTAGGTCTTGAGACACCAGGAGGCAATGGTGACAATGGTTTACCATCAGAATGTGAAGATCCCTCAATGTCCCCTAAGCCTTCTTCAGCCTATATGCAATATACCACAGTATAATACAATAACAGTATAGTACAATAAGAGTATAGTACAGTTCGTAGGAATCTCTCTCTCTCTCTCTTTACTTCGCTTCTTTGTGGAAGGTCAGCAGTAACAGATTGACCAGTTTTACTTTTTTGTCTACTCATAATTTTCCTTTGCTGTGATTGTAACTTGATTCTTTCTCTATTATTCCTCTATACAACATAATAATAACAATGATAATAATAATAATAATAATAATAACAATGATCATAATAATAATATACACATACTCTAGATTGCTTTCTGTCAGTATCAGTAACTGGTAGGACTGGTTTGACGAGGTTACCAGATGATGTTGTTGTTGAAGGAGATTGTCCTCCAATTGTAGTGTGGAACCTCAGTAGAGCAGTGCTGTTAGCTGAAGGGACATCAGAATAATGAGTGACATGCTCAAACAATCCAGCAGGACGCTATTAATAATAATAATGTTAATAATAATAATAATTTTACTTGTTCTGCTCCTTCATATGTTAACTGTTCCCGTTGCCATGCATCCAAATGAGCTTCACTGTAATAGAAAGGTTAATATGTTAGACATGTTTGTACAATTGATATACTTTGAAGCAGCTAGCAGTGCCATTGTTGATGAGGTAGTTGCTAATGGATAGTTTCTCTTGACAACTGATCTTCTTGTTACTTTATTAATAGCAGGTGAGCCATGTTGTACTCCCTGTGGTACGTGTAACCATAACAATAATAATAGTTATTACAACTACCATGTGTTTATGATCAGCAGCAGGTAATCCTTCTTGACCTGTTGCAAATGCCTAAACAAAACAACAACAACAACAACAACAACAACAACAACAACAACAATAACAACAACAATAACAACATTACTAAGAGTACACAGTCTTATATACCTGTAGCTCAATGTGACTAACTTCACTTCTATCCTTTCTATTCCTCTTCCCTAGTAACATGCACATTAAAAGCAGTCCACATATTATTATTATTATTATTATTAATGTTCCGCCAACTGTGCCACCAATAATTATATAGAGGGTGGAGTTATCACTTGTTGTCATGGTAACTGTACCCGTCTCTGGCATTGTAATCATTACAACCTAATTAAAAGTATATTAAAATAATTATATTAGCGGACTGTTTCATACCTCATAATTTGATATATTTTGTGGATTGACTCTATTTAATATACCAATCACAGTTAAAGCTTGTATTGGCTCTCCATTTACTGTCATATAGAAATCAACAGGAGCTGTACCAGCAGAACTTAGACTACCGACATCGGTTATCTATCAATAGTAACAATAATATATTAATAGTAACAATAATCTATTAATAGTAACAATAATATATTAATAGTAACAATAATCTATTAATAGTAACAATAATATAATAATAGTAACAATAATTTATTAATAGTAACAATAATCCAGTAATAGTAACAGTATTATTCTTACGTATGCCTTTGGTGATGATGACAATTGTCTTTTCCTTTGTCCACCTAATGTGTCCAGTCCTTTAAGATATACTGCTACAATGGATTCCTCTAGTTGAACTCTTTTTGAAGAACTAACATTCACTAATGATTCTCTCTCAGACGAGGTAAGACTAAAGACTATTCTTACTAAAAACCCAGACAGTACAGTAGGAGATATTAGGACTGAAGAACTACTGGTAATTAATGAAGAGGTGATCCTGCCATCAGATACTGTAGTAAGAACATCACTGCTACTAGCTAACAATGAAGGACTGCTGGTTATAAAGGATGGTGTAGCTATACCACCAACTAATGAAGAGGTTATCACAGTAGATACATCAGCAGTTGCACTAGAACTAGTGAAGTATGAACTTGCACTTATACTACTAGTAACTGAACTGATGATAAAAGGAATGGAACTGCTGGTCGGAGAATTAATTGAACTGATGGTACTGGTTGAACTGATGGTACTGGTTGAACTGATGGTACTGGTTGAACTGATGCTAATATAGATTGAACTGGTACTGGTAAAACTGGCACTGGTTGAGCTGCTAGTGTGGATACTAACAGGTACACTCAATGAAAGACTGGTCTCAATCATACTACTGACTAAAGTAGAAGTTAAACTGCTGATACTGTCAATAGTGCTGATTGATATCAAAATACCAGTACTATATACTATATCTGATGTACTGCTACTGTACAATGAACTGGAACTGGTACTGTACTGATAGGAGGATGAACTACTGTAATGCAATGAGCTAAATATCTCTAATGTACTGGTAACTATTGGAGAATTGGAATGCAACACTGGTATACTGGTAGGTGGTATACTGGAATGCAACTCTGGTACACTGGTAGGTGGTACACTGGAATACAACACTGGTACACTGGTAGATGGTACACTGGAATACAACACTGGTACACTGGTAGGTGGTATACTGGAATACAACACTGGTACACTGGTAGGTGGTACACTGGAATACAACACTGTTACACTGGTAGGTGGTATACTGGAATGCAGCTCTGGTACACTGCTAGGTGGTATACTGGAATACAACACTGGTACACTGGTAGGTGGTACACTGGAATGCAACACTGGTACACTGGTAGGTGGTATACTCGAATACAACACTGGTACACTGGTAGGTGGTACACTGGAATACAACACTGGTACACTGGTTGGCGGTACACTGGAATACAACACTGGTACACTGGTAGATGGTACACTGGAATACAGTAGATCGGTAGATATGGTGTGTAATGGTTCACTAGTTTGAGGCAATACAGCAACTGAAGGTACTATACTGTTGCTTGATGGGCCTCCATAGTTGCTTAGTGTTGATATACTAATGGATTCTTCAGTTATAAAATAACTAGTGATTAACTGTTGACTGGTAATAGAGGGTTGCATTGATAATAATGTAATTAGAGTGGGTGTGGCCTCCTCTGATAACGGCAAATATAAATCAGTTGTTGAATATTCACTCAACAAATCAGCTGCTGATGAAGGAGTGGCTAGATAAAATGAATCTTCAGATTTCATTGGATAAAACACAGATGAGGTAGCAGTAGGTATCAGTAATGAACTGACATCAGTACTATATTGACTAGACGTAACAGATACTTTGTAAGAAGCAGTAACAGCAAAATCAACAAAAGAAGACGTCACCTCTGACTCAAACTGATCAGTAGGTGTTAACCCTGATTCAAACTGATCGGTTGATGCTAATCCTGATTCAAACTGATTGGTTGATGTTATTACTGATTCAAATTGATCAGTAGGTGTGAATTCTAATTCAAACTGATCAGTAGATGTTAGTCTTGATTCAAACTGGTCAGTTGATGTGATATATTGTTCAGTTGTAACTATTTTGAAATAGATCAATACTTAAGATAGTGTATTGAAGTCTTACCTTTAGAAGTCAATGCAAGATTGATGTACTGATGAGTGCTAATGGTCTCTGAAGAATACAAGAGATTCCTAAAATAAATAAGTTATAAGAGGAACAGGAGGTAGTACAAATGTAACAGTATTAAAACTTACAGTGAAGTTATATTAGGAACAATGTCTGAAGTGAAGGGCAGATTGGGTATTGCAGTATCACTAGTACTGGAAGGAGTGATATCAATAGTTGGTGAGAAAGGAGTCCATACTGTACTCTCAATGCTAATGTCTTCAATGTAATATGAAGAGGAGTAACAATCTGATATCATAGAGCAGGAGGAGTCTGAGCACAAGAATACAATTGAGAGTGTGTCAGAATAACTAATAACCTACCATTTCCTTGTCCTTTGGAGGATATAAATAAAGAGAGAAGGAGGATAAAGATGGTAAACTGCTCTGGCATTGTGTTTATTTATCTTAACTGGAATCCAAAACTATCACACCTTAATCTAGGTGGGGCTCATTTTGAAAATTATGAGCCACACCTATCAACAATGAGAAGGTGCAAGTTAATTCATTGGTAATTTAAGATCTACAGTGTATACGAAGGAGTAGTATCGAGTAGAATCAGGAGAAACGTAAGATGTGATGTTACTCTCTTTGAATGTCAAGCAAAGGAAACATTAATAATAAAAATTGGGAAGCATCTCAGTGGTAGCCCAGTGCAAGGGAGTTCTGTGGAGATAGACTCCATCCATTTATGAATGATAAAGGAACTGAAGTTGTTTTACATGAAGATACATGTACTTGTATCTTGTATTCATAGGAAGCTACAATGTGACTGTATTCTTTTGTAGTGATTATTTTAACAAAATTAAAGAAAATAAAAAATTGGTTATGTGATTTTTAAAAATGTGTGTGATGCAATAATAATAATATTTACACTATATTCTTCTGAATAAAGAAACATCAATTCATTTCACCTCCTCCTCCTCCTCCTTCATTCCAATTATCATTACTATTAATGACATCATCACCAGTTGATATAACATTATGCACTCCACCAATCGATCCAGTCCCTGTTGTGTTCAGTACTGATAATTGTTCAGTTAAAGAAGCAACTCCATTCAAATCAGTCACTAGTAACTCTAACCTCAATACTTCTACAATGTACATTAGAAGATGCCATTAATTCATTAATAAAATACTTAAAGATACAGCTGTACCTCCAAAGTATCTTCCCTCCAAATCCACTAGTCTCCATTCTGCTTTATACTCCCCAGGGACAGGAGGAGCCTTCAGTGCTACTGTTATTGGACGCTTTTCCTTTGGTCTCAGGCTGTCAATAGGTCCTTCGAAAATACCTTCAAACTGATGACCACAGGAATGCACTAGCCGTACACCAGAAGGCCATGAATCTGTACCTAAAAGCAATCATTAATAACTACCAATAGTTAACTAACCAGTATTAATAACTGTCCATACACAGTAGAATTGTTTTCCAGTGGTGATTGGTCCAGGAGGATCAATGAGAGATCCCTCAATGTTCATATCCAGTAATGAAGGACGACTCAAGTAATCATAATAGGCTCCAACAGCACTCTAAGCACATTAATTATTCACTAATTTATAATAAGGATAATAGTCCATTACCTGTAAATTCCTAAAAAATTGAAAAATTGAACATAATTATGCAAAAATGTTAAAGTATCTCATAGTCATTTTTGGAAAAATTTTACTAAAGTCTTTGTACTATTTGGTCAGATTTTGGAGAAACTTTAAAGATTTGTAAAATGTTCAAATGTGATTAGAATCAGTTCAAACTTTCTAGAGCATAAGGGCATCAATATGTATCAGAAAATGCAATAAAAATTTGGGGTGATTTCGGAGCCATTTTTTGGAAAAAACCATGGGCTATAGTACAGGGATTTTTTCAGAATTTTGACGTTTTCTTAAAATGGCCATAACTTGAAAAATTCAAGTCAAAATCATTTCAAACTTTCTACACAGCATAAGGGCATCAATATGTATCAGAAAATGTAATAAAAATTAGGGATGATTTCGGAGCCATTTTTTGGAAAAAACCATGGGCTATAGTACAGGGATTTTTTCAGAATTTCGATGTTTTTTAAATTGGCCGTAACTTGAAAAATTCAAGTCGGAATCACCTCAAACTTGCTACATAGCATAAGGGCATCAATATGTATCAGAAAATGTAATAAAAATTAGGGGTGATTTCGGAGCCATTTTTTGGAAAAAACCATGGACTATAGTACAGGGATTTTTCAGAATTTTGACGTTTTCTTAAAATGGCCGTAACTTGAAAAATTCAAGTCAAAATCATTTCAAACTTTCTACACAGCATAAGGGCATCAATATGTATCAGAAAATGTAATAAAAATTTGGGGTGATTTCGGAGCCATTTTTTGGAAAAAACCATGGGCTATAGTACAGGGATTTTTTCAGAATTTTGATGTTTTTTTAAATTGGCCGTAACTTGAAAAATTGAAGTCGGAATCAGTTCAAACTTTCTACACAGCATAAGGGCATCAATATGCATCAGAAAATGTAATAAAAATTAGGGATGATTTCGGAGCCATTTTTTGGAAAAAACCATGGGCTATAGTACAGGGATTTTTTCAGAATTTTGATGTTTCTTTAAATTGGCCATAACTTGAAAAATTCAAGTCGAAATCATTTCAAACTTTCTACACAGCATAAGGGCATCAATATGTATCAGAAAATGTAATAAAAATTTGGGGTGATTTCGGAGCCATTTTTTGGAAAAAACCATGGGCTATAGTACAGGGATTTTTTCAGAATTTTGATGTTTTTTTAAATTGGCCGTAACTTGAAAAATTGAAGTCGGAATCAGTTCAAACTTTCTACACAGCATAAGGGCATCAATATGCATCAGAAAATGTAATAAAAATTAGGGATGATTTCGGAGCCATTTTTTGGAAAAAACCATGGGCTATAGTACAGGGATTTTTTCAGAATTTCGATGTTTTTTTAAATTGGCCGTAACTTGAAAAATTGAAGTCGGAATCAGTTCAAACTTTCTACACAGCATAAGGGCATCAATATGTATCAGAAAATGTAATAAAAATTAGGGGTGATTTTGGAGCCATTTTTTGGAAAAAACCATGGGCTATAGTACAGAGATTTTTCCAGAATTTTGACGTTTTTTTAAATTGGCCGTAACTTGAAAAATTGAAGTCGGAATCAGTTCAAACTTTCTACACAGCATAAGGGCATCAATATGTACCAGAAAATGTAATAAATGTGAGGAATTATCTCATTTTCAATTCTGGTAAAATTTCACCCAAATCCCTGTATATACTACATGTATAGTAAAAGGACATTGGTCTGATTTTGGATAAACCATTAAAATTTGTAAAATGTCTACACTTGATTAGAATCAGCTCAGACCTCATATATGCTGTATCAATTATAAACCCTAGTCTATAACACCTTACCAACTAGTCATTTCCAGTACAAAGATACATTGGTCTCTGGTGACAGTTCCCCCCAGTATAGAATGAAGCTCCTTTATCAATACTTCACGGTCTGTAGTCCCCAGACAACGGAACTGGGAGAGAAGATCACCAACACAATCTCCTCCACCTTCAGCCATTAAGAGCGTCTCCTTAGTAGCCACACCCACTACCAGCCCTGCCCTTTTGTCCTGCAAACTAACCCGAAAATTTCCGTAATCTTTTAAAAGCAAATCCGTGGATTCCGTGCATATGGTACATTATAAACTGCCATTGTTCCTCGCAGTGTTCTGAGTATGAAATGTTTTCTTGTTCTTTTTGTTCTTTTCCTGTGTTCCCTGAGGCCTGGAGATGGAGCTGGAAAGAAAGTTGTTAAAGAAAAAGTGAGAAAATAATTTATAATGACTATTAATAGTGAGTAATAACAGGGTCGAGCTCCTGTTGTTAATGAAGTGGGTGGAGCCTTAGACACTGGTTTAATTCATTCATTGGATCTTGAACACTCCATTGGATCAGGTAATTGATACGTTTCATTCTATTGCTGATAATTTTGGAGGAGACCGCAATTTTGCTAAATTAAACCCTATCAATATTTCAAAATGTAGCAACTTTCCCTCCATGATTATACCTGCAGTTGTTCCTGTTACTATTATTGTTATTATTTCAGGAGGAGTGTTTAAAGTACGAGGTACTCTAACGTTTAGATCCAGTTCCTCTTCTCTCTCTCCCTCTCTCTCTCAAGACACTTTAACTGATGAAGACAGCAGCCTTTTTGAGGTATTTCTATTTAAAGTGCACATACCATATTGTTTCTATTATATAGAAAGCGGCTCTTAGTAATGATTATTATTATATTAGAATTAAAAATAATATAACTAATGTTAATGAAGGTGAAGCTGATTATGTGATGTCATTAACAAGTGCAGTAAGTTATTAATAGTTATTACCGAGTGGTTATTAATTCATTAGTGTGGTTTATTAAAAAGTTCTTTAAAAGATATAATCACAATTCATGGAGATGGACAAGGTTATATTAATTAAATTCACTATTATTATTATTATTATTATCAGGTGGTATTATTAGCGTCTCTGTTAGCCCAGTTAATCCAGTTTTAGAAACTGGTTTGACCTGTAATGATGTACAAGGGAGATCAGTAAGAGAGAGATACAGTAATGTGTATATACATCATTAATTCGTTTCTTGTTAGTTCTTCACAACCACAGTTCAATATACTGTCAGTAAAACAGGAGCAGTGTATGTACATTAATAATGATAATTAATGATTAATATTGTATTGCTGCTAGTCCTAACGTCCAGTCGTATCTTCAAAGAGAAGAAGCTGAGAAAGCCAAGAAAGATAACGAAGACAATAGATCATTCTTACAGAAATACGTATGTTAATTAGTATAATTATATTCATTATAAGTAACCACACCCACTATTAGTGGCTGCATCTTGTGATTGGATTCGTTGGTCTTCAGTTCTTAATGTCAATGGGAGGAGGAGGAGGAGGGGCCAGTTAATGAATATTAATTATTTATTATAAAATGAATAATAATAATCATTAGTATCACAAAAAATAAACACAATTATTACTTCTTGCTTATACAAACAAGCCATGCTCCTAAACCCACCCACCCAACGGCTGATTCATTTATGATTGTATCAAAGGTTCAGTCAGTTCCAGTTCAGTTTGACGAGGGGCAGGACTGGGCCCATTGGTATAACCTGATTCACTGTCACTGCTGTACGAGAAATTAGAAGCTTGACTTGAGGAAGAGTAGGGCAGAGGTATCTTTGGTTTGGGGGCTGGTTCCTCAGGAGGATCAGTCACAAATGGATTCTGATGCTTTGGTATGTCGTAAGTTCTGGTCCAGTCCACTCTATCCTTAGCATTGCAACATGTAAACCCAAAGAAATCAGCACAATTGACACAAGCACCTCGACTAGAAGAAAGATAACAAGATTAATAATGAGAGATGTACTACTAACTGAAATGGACTGAGCCCTCCGAGTTTAAGAAAGTGCTCATATCTGTGAGCATTCCTCTTCTCATTGGTAGTCATGCCCTGACAGAATAACTGCAGAACAATAACTGACTATATTAGCAGGTGGACGTACCTGAAACAACTGGCTAACCAGGAGTAGGTATACCCAGGTGAAGTGGAAGAGTGTCATGATTAGGATGTACCCAATCCATGGATCAGAGACAATGTAGTGCCACGTCCTCATTACAACATTCTGAGATGGATCAGCAGGAAAGAAATGATACACATCTAAAATAATAACCATTAATAACTATTAATAACCATTAACAACTATTAATTAACTAACAGCGTAGTGATGCAGTGAGGTTCCATATTAACATTGATAATAGACAAACTAAATATCCTAAAAACATCTTATGATTCTTTAATCCTAAACAACAACAATAAACAACAACAAGAAGAAGAGGCCACACCCACCAATACAATTATCCACCCACGGACAATGATGATCAAATCTTGCTACACACCTCCTGCAGGCTGGACAATGCTTCGATCTGATTGGTCGCCTTACCTGTACCAATAACATAGCAACATTAATGATGATAATACACTTACCAGACAGGAAGTGCAAAATGTTGAAGGATTAAACTTTCCTTCTTCACATAAAGAGAATATAGTCTGTATAAAGAGAGTGATTGGTTACAGTAGACTCTATATAACATACTCTGAATTCTTCCTCTTTATTGTTCATCATTGGTAGGTAGCCTGGGTCAGAGCGCCATGTTTTAAAGAATACATAAAACATGACAACTGAAAGAATCAGCAGAACAAACCAGCGATCAACAACACCATCTGAAAGTGAGAGAGAGAGAGAGGTGGAGGTGGTAAATTAATGTGTTAAAATATGGAGCCATTACAAGGTATAAAGTAACTAAAGACAGTGACATAAAGCCAAAACTTTGTACCCCAAACCAACCCAAGAGCCATGGGATGGTCCTCAGGACTTACTGGAAGATATAACCTATAGCAACAATAAACAACAACAATAAACAACAACAATAAACAACAACAGTATATCTGCTGCTTACAATACAAACTGCTTGACTATCCATGAACATATCGAGGTAGATATGATGTAAGACCACCAGTTGGGGCATATGACCCCAAGGTAGCCCATCAGGCCAACCAGTACTCCTGGGAAGAGGAGCATGAGCCACCAGGCCAGCCTCTACACATGAAGGATACAGTAGAGGTCAGGTAGCTCATTGATCATCATTACTTTATTCCCTGTCAGTATATCAAGGACACCATTGGGTTCCCTTCTCTTCCTCTCCGTGTGAATCATTTCAATAATCGGCTTACTTTGACTGCTCACTGCTAAATCATAAGGAGTCTTACCCTATTAATAAATAAAAAAAAAAAATAAATGAACAATAATAATAATAATAATAAAGGTACTTCGTTATTTTGTGAGCTAATTGGAGCAGCTGTTCTTGTCAATTCTTTAACTGCAAAATAATTAGCTGACTCAGCAGCATGATGAAGAGCTATTAATAAATAATAAATATAATTAATAATTAATTAATAATTACCGGTATTCTGTTGTTTGTCAGTAACTGACAATGAAGCTCCTAGTGATATTAATAGTCTAGTTGGATCGAAACTGAAAATATATAATCAAAAACAACAAATACAATTAATAACTCTTAACTTGTATGATCTTAAACTTGAGAGCATCAATGCAGTACGACCCTCAGCATCCACTGAGTCAATATTCTAATATCAGTATAACTCAGTATATTCCAGTAAACTAACTCACAATGGGGAAGCGGGGGTGAGTCACGTAGTAGGCAGTGATTGCAGTGAATCCAAACTGAGCTGATATGTGGAGACAATTTAAACCTGTAAACTCATTAATTAATTATATCATTCATTAATTAACGTACCTTCTTTATCCAATATTTCAGGATTAGCGCCATATCTCATTAACAATACAACCATACCCAGGTGTCCTTGTCTGCAGATGCATCATAACGATACATTCATTATTAATAATCATGATTATATTAATATTAATACACTAGTCTAGTCTACACTGACCTAGTGGCCCAATGAATGGGAGCGGACAGTAATTCCCCACCTACAGCATTGACGTTAGCTCCTTTTTGGATAAAATAACTACAGAAAATACTAATATACATTGTTTCTAATTAATGCCCACCTTGCTACAGCGAATCTATTGTTAATGGCCGCCCAGTGGAGAGGAGTGATCCCCTCACTGTCTCCCAGTCTAACATTAACTCCTTCCTCCTCCACCAACTGACGACACTTTTCAAGATGACCGTATTGTGCTGCTTCTATAATACTAAAGGAAGATGGGCTCTTCCCTAATCATAAATAAATAAATAAATAAATAAATAATCAAAAATGATAACAGACTAACCAAGAGTAGATTATTACATATCTACTCTTGGACTAACTGATATTTCTAGGAGGATCCACAGTGTGTTTGTAGGTCCTAGTTCCTTCTCCTTCCCTGCCCTGCTAACAATAGGATCCAATAGAGAGAGACCATTAATAAAAGGAACTTACACTCTCAGCGTCCATTCCTTCATCTCCACTGCTCAGTGGAATATCTTCCAATTCATCCTCCATTTTGAACTTCTACTGCGCATGCTTAATAAACCAAAGGGCGGGTAATTTAAATTAATTAGCAGCTGTGAGTTGAGGGTAAGTGAGAGAGAAGGAGTCATTAAAGAAGAAGAAGGAGTTTTTAAGGATATGCCAGGAGATTTAAGCAAAGGAAAAATGTCTCGGAGAAGAACTAGCCTTGAAGAGAAAGAAGAAGATGTTGAACTTACCCTTTACCATGACAACAAAACTGGTATACATTATGTTATATAAACTGATAGTAATGATGTATTTGTTTCTAGCCTCTAACAGTGGGAGTACTAGTCATGGAAAGAAAAGGAAAGGAGAGAGTGCCATACTGGACGAGGCCAGCAGCACATCAGAGTAACAGCTATCCTCATTATTATTATTGTAAATCTATTTCATTATTATTTAGTGACGTTGAAAAGTTATTGGTTGGCTTTGGTGCTAACTTTACAAAAACAATTCAGAACAAAAAGAGAAAAATAGAAACATTCACTAAAGAATCTTTGGAATACAGCAAAAGGAAAATGAAAGAAGTTAACACCAAACAATCTGCAGACAGGTAAAGTGTTACTATTTATAGACTGAATACCAGTATAGTACTACTTATGTGTTACTATTTATAGGCAGGTAGTGCTTAATAGTTATACAAAGCAGGTTGATGTTATCCTGGGCCAGTGGGAGGAGGATTTGGGTAAAATGAAAGAGGGAGAGGAGAAACTGTCTCTAGTAATGAAACAATTTCAAACACAGTCACGACAACAAAGACTGGCCATGTTACAGAAATACAAAACAATGAAGCAACTTAAAGATGAATTTGCAAAGGTATCATAATAATGGCTGACACATGACGTTACATACACACTGGTATAGAGTATTGATCAGTTACAAGAAACTCATGATAAGCAGTTGAGTTCAATTCATGATGAAATGAAAGAGGAAATGGCCCAACTTAGAAAGAAAGTAATGATGGAGTCACAGCAACACGAGATGTCTACTGTAAAGAATTCACTCACTAAACTACTGGCCAGTATGGGAGAGGAATAAATACCATTAATAACCATTAATAACCATTAATAACTACCAATAACTACTAATGGAGTAATACTTAGGAAGACATCATTATATTCAATAACTGTGTTAATCAAATATTCAACAAAATTAATATCCTATATTATAAATTGTGTGTGTCAGTCACGTCAAGACAAAAATAATAACAATCATTAGTTATTATTATTATTATTATTATTATTATTATTTGAGGACTGAGTTGTGGGTGTGACAGAGGAAGTAGGTGTGGTTTGATGTATCGTTGGTATTGTGAAACAGCTAATCTCAAGGTATGTACAGACCTGTCTAACCACTACAATACAATAATAAACAACATCATAAAGATTGAATATCTGAGAGGAGAGAGAGACCATAATGTAACAATAATTGATATACAACTCACAGCTACTACTATCAAGAGAAGTGTCTCAGGTATGAGGACTCCCAGCAGTATATTGACCACAGTTAGAATGGGACCAATCAATACAATATCAAACAATGGGAGTGGAGTCTTGCACATACCAGCCACCTTTGATTGATAATGAGGCCATTACTTGATAGAAGGACACTTACCATCATTAACAAGATTAGTTTCACAAAAGGAAGAGCCAAAGCTGCAAAAACTAACATTGCGTGTCTTGTCATAATAAAGGATGGAGAATAGACGCAATAGAAAACAGAGCAATATAGAACAATACCAGATGGAATTATTGGAGATAGAACACTAGTATCCTAAAAGCAACGACAGTAACAAGTATTGAATAATGGTTAAACTTACAGCAACAGTGGCTCCATTCTTCCCCACTCCTTTACTTAGAATAATATAAAATGCACTGGCAAGGTTCATCAAACTGGAGCAAATGACAGACCCAGCTAAGATGAACTTCAATGGGATGCCAAACCATGGCAACTATAAATAATGATCAAGGTCACTAATGATAATAAATAAACCTACAGTGTAGTCCCACACACTGGTTCCAAATATAAAGACAGCAACCATAACTCCAATATGACAGAACTGTGCCTCTGTACAGTCAATCCTATTGATAATAATAATAACTTCATTATTATTAGTTTCTTACTTTTTAAAATAGAGACAGCCGCTAACATAAGTTTGCCAGTGGTAAGCATAATTAAGGAACTCCATTATAAAGACGTAAGCAATCAGGATATAAGGATATTGATGGAGTGAGCCAGCACTGGCCCCAGTGAGTGCCAGGAGGAAAGTAGAGAATGTGTCACACCCATGATCAAACATTTCCCCCAGTGGGTTATTAGTGCCAGTTCTTCTGGCCTGTTTACCGTCAACTCCATCAAGTGTTTGATACACAAATGTACCAATACCAGATAACAAGTAGAGGATAGGTGGGGCCTATGAATATCAGTATCATTACTAATGTACACTACATGCATTAACTGTTATTATTATTATTATTACTAGTGAATACCTTTCCTTCACAGTTGAGGTCAGAGAGTATAACAGCCAGGCAGGTGACAGTGTTTATGACTAAACCAGTGAAAGTGATGAGGTTTGGGGCTAGCCAGAGAGGAAGTTGTGTGACAGACCAACGCCAAAACGGTTGAAGATACACTTCAGTGATGGAAGTACCTTCTGCTGTGTACTTGTGATCCTTTAGCCCCCGGAGGTGAGCAGGAGAGAGGCCAGGATCAAAGAATACCATTCCTTGAGCCTGAGCTTTTATTCCAATATTATTTTGTCCGGTATATTGGAGTAGATCTAGAGTAATCCATAGATAATAGAGTAAATGAAAGGGATTGGAAACGAAAGCGTGGGCGTGGGCAAACCTCCATTCATTTGTATTGTTGCTAAGTAAACAGAGGAGGGTTGGGATTTTTTGACCGATTTTGGAGTAAAAAATTGAGATTTTCTTGCTTTATTCTTGAATAACTCCAAGAGAATACAATTCATGGAAACAAAACTCACACACAATATTAACCAATGTTTATGCTTTTTATTAATATTTCTTGTTCAGTAAATCAATGCATGCGTTAGTAGCTGCGTCACTCTTTAACTAGAAATACCATCTTTTCCCCCTCTGAGAGACTCATTTTGTTCTTGAGCTA